ATCTGGAAATTAAATCAAATCACAAGTCGGGGGCGTTTTCTACAACCGGGAAAATAAGTTATCGATAATGCCAATAGTAATTTATAGTTTTGAGTTTGAAACCCTTGGAGCTGTAGTGTTTATTCTGAGTAAAGAGCATTAAAGCTTTGGCTAAGACCAAGTAAGATTGTTTTATTTTTTTTTGATTATGCTTGTTGTTGTTGTTGGTTGATGGGAAGTAGGTGCTGATTTCCGTTTGCCGCTGCCTGCTACTTGGGCAGCCCTTTTGCGTAATTTGATACGCGTTTGCAACCGTATGGAGGCAAACAATGCATTGTGAATGAAAGCATGAGTGCATGAATGAATGACTGCTGGCTGCGGCAACAAAAGACAAATTGCTTAGCAGAGGCAGCAGCATTAAGTGTGTCACATGCAAATGTGGGCAACATTTGAAAAGAAAAACAAAATATGTATAACTCGCTAACTCTTTGTCATGCTTCTTGGCCAACTGCAGCAGCAGTGGCGGCGACAGCAGCAACACGTTTGGAATTTGATACCATAAACGCCACAATTATGTACATATACGAGTATGCACATAAGTATAAGCAGGCACATAGCTGAGCCCATTTACGGTTAAAGCCAGTTGCCTCAAGTTCAGTTTGTGTCGGCGCGTTGACCGTGGGTTGCAACTAACCTGCAACGGCAGCAGCCGCATTCAAAGGGTTCCAAAGCACGCATTCAAACCATATGTACATACATACTATATACATAATTCAAGAGAAAAAAATACCATTGAGTGCAAATACTACAACAGATAACTGAAGTTCTTGCTGCCTGCCTGCCTGCCTGCCTGCCAACCTACCTGCCTGTCTGTCTGTCTGTCTGACTAACTCTTCGATCATTATACCTACCAACAAACGTGGTCTGGGCTCCATTAAAGATACATATACAGCATATTCTTAGCAGATTTGCGTTGGTGATTGCTGCTGTTATTGTTGTTGTTGCTATCATGGATGTTGTTGATGATGAGAAAGGAGTACTCAACAAGCTCTGAGTGCTCTGTGAGAATCTTGACTTGTCTTCTGTTTTTTTTATGGCAGCGGTCATTAAAAAACCGCCTTCTTCGCATCTTGCATCTAATGAGAAGTTTCATGTACTTTTTTAATGTACATAAACACACTGCTGTTCACTTCACTAGGTACACCATTCAAATTAGATTTAAATGTGTTTGTAACCCTTTAACTTGACAGCGAGCCAATTTCCTTCCAAACTTATCGAGGCCGAAGATGTTTCCTAATTCATCCAAGCCTATCGATGGATCTAATTTATGCGCAAGAGGATTCCACTGACCACCGCGACCACATAACCTAACCCAATCCTTTAACTTCATCCTGCTTGAATAAGCATCCTTAATTGCCTTTATTTCAATAGGCAGGACTTTTGAAAAAAATTTGAATTTATTGCTAAAAAAAAAAAAATGGATGTTATTTATATTTTGGATTTATTTATGTCACCAAAGTATAGCTGTTGACATACGAAAAAATTACTTAAAAAACTTTTAGATAACAATTCTATAAAAGCGACTTTCTAGAATAAACAGAAATTGAAAAACAAAGGAAATGTGTCAATAAACAGTTTACTTGAAAAAGGATTACATTTTTACTGAAAGTTTCTTATAAACAACTACAATACTACCATGAAGAAGTGCCTGCTATTTAAAAGGTCTTCACATTTTCTTTAATAAAGAATATATTTCAAGCTTCAACGAGCTAGCAGGAATCCCCGAATGTGAGTTCGTTCCTTGAGCAGGCGCTTGGTTCAATTCATGAAAGGAAGCAGGATTTAAAAAATGTCAAAGGTGTCATAAAATTTATTAATTTATCTTAAATAATGATTCAAGATTTTAAAAATAAATAATTAATTACATAAAATAAATAAGTTCTCTTTGCAAGAAAGTGTTGCTGTTTAATATTGTTCGCATTCTGCTCAGTTTTGTGCAAACCTTGGTTAAAAAGATTGATATATATATAAATAGATTTATAATGAAATCGCTGTATACTCCCACTTATGTGGTCCGGGCTGTATACACTTGTACATACGAGCATACTTGGCTGGTCTAGCACTCTTGATGGCGGTTGCTGTCGCGGCACAAATCACAATTCCTCTTCGGCCGTTCACTTACTTCCGCACCAGCATGAGTACGAGCTTGTATTGCCAACGTTTAATGACAAATTGTGACGTTTTGCCTTGGCAATTGATACAAAAAAAACCGTTAAACGAGGCTGTTGCAGCTGCGATTGCTTGTCATTGTTGGCAACATAGCTGCTTGCAGCTTGAGGCACGTCAGTTTTGTGGCAGTTGTCATTGCCTGTGGCGCGTCTAGAGTTACAAATGCCGCTTACTTGCATCTCAAATGATTCAGTTAAACGCTATGAGTGACGAGGATGATGATTGTCAGCATATAGTATATATAGATATATATATATATATACGGGTATATAGGGCTTCAACTTATTTCCGCCGTATGTCTTCAAATTGGCCATCAACAATAATTCAAAATGCGAGTGTACCAGTTTTCTTTTCCTTTTTAAACAATTACTTTTGTTTACTTCTTGAGTCTTCTAAGTACCGCCGGGCTCAACAAAACTAATTAGGTTTCATTTTTGTGAAAGTCAAATTACTTGCTTGTGGTTTTGTTTATTTGTTTTGGTTTTTTTTTTTTGTTTTTTTTTTGCATATTTTCGTGCAAATTTGCCATAAATCGTGTGTAAGTTCAGAGTGAATTGTGTTGCGACATAAAGTTCACGAAAGCCAATTGAAGAAGAGTGGAAGCGGCAAAGAGAAACCTTTAATTATCATAATTAAATCGATGCCAGAAACTATTAGCCTCTTGGTCTCGCGCCAACTTGTGTGCAAGCGACAAATAACAAATCCTACGTAAAATGTAAGCCATTTTTTAAGTTTATTCAGAAATACGCTCCACTTGACGGGCGAGAGTTGTTGGTTTGGTTCGGTTCAAAATGAACATTTAATTTTTCCAATTACATTAAAAAACATTAGAAAACTACTTAAGCGAAATGGAAAAAAGCCCAATCGATTGAACTTAATTTAGACACAATAATATAACTAACACAACCGCACTCGTCAATCCGTTTCAAGCTTCTTTTTTATTATTCATTTATTTATTTATTTATTTTGCTTTTAATTTTAATTAATTTTAAATTGTTTTTAATTTTGCTTTTTTTTAATTATACTGTTATATTTATAACTTAAATTAAACTCATAGTTAAATTCAAATACAACTTAAACTAGGTGTTCAGTCTTAATTACAATTTAACATTTATAATTTATATACTTACTTGTAAATCTGATGGGAAGGTCAATAGGGTGTGACCTCTTCAGCCACCTTCTCACTATTCTTGTTCCTTTTCTTAAAACTTGTCCAAAGCTAGCTAAAAAGAGTTTCATCTGCGATATGTACATATTTGCAAGAGTATATAGTGTAGCTTAAATTTATTAATTACTATAAAAGCAACAACTGGCAAAATAAACCTTAATCATAATTGCAAAATTTTAAAGCAAACTTATTGACTATTTTCATTAAAGTACGTTGAGTCGTATATAATAAATATACGATTAGTAACGTAGCAACATTCCTAGAGAGTCAGTCAGTCAATAACTTGTAAGCTTCGGTTATGAAAGCAACAAATAGCCATATTCAAATATTCGACCTACATATTTGATGATAAGTAGCTTGCAGGCAAATAACAAACGGGCTGAGAGACAATGAAGGGTATGCGAGTGCTGCAAAGCTGGCTTTGGAAAATTTGTTTGTTGCATCTATTGTTACGGCCTTACACATAACATTTATTTGTGTTGTATTACCAATTTTCTACAGTTAGTATAATTTATGCCGTGAAATGTTTAACAGCGCGCATGTGTTGGGCCGCCCCCCGAAACCTCCCCGGACCCCCGGCCCCCAACCAACTGCCACTGCGCCAGCACGCAACAGTTGACTTTCTCTAACTAAGTATTTCCATTGCATTTTAGCCGTGTTTTCTTCATTTCTTTAACTGTTTCGTGCAGCTTCCCTCCCAGTCAGACAGAGTCGCTGCTCTTAATTGGCCATTGACAAGCCACAGCGGGCAACCTTCACCCGAGCTGCCTGGCTGGCTGGCTGGCTGGCTGGCCTAATCAATGTAAATTTAATTGAAAACTTTGTTAGTAAAAGGCCACCTGCCTGCCATACATAAGTCTACACGTAGTGTTTTGAGAATGACGTTGCTGGGGCGGTCTTCTTCTGTAGAGTTACGGGCGCTCAGCTGTTTTGCTGCTGCGCATGTCCGGATTGTGTCATTGGGGGCAGCAGTTTGTTGGCAGTAACGGCAACATGGGGCAGTCAGTCAGTCAACAAAAATACGTAAATCCAATATTCGATTAGCTGCTGTGAAGTGTTGTGTTGAAAAACTGCTGCAGCAATTGCTGAAAGCAACAAAATAATGAATGAGGCAACATCACCAACAACCACAGCAATTACTTTGGCTGCAGGCCAACAGCAACAGCAACAACAACAACAACTACAGCATCAACAGCCAGCAGTCTCGCCAATTTGTGTGCGTCGTGTACGCACCGATTTGAAAACATCGGAGAATATATTTCTGGTCAGCCAGCAGGCGAGACCGCAGCGTACGCGCAACAGCTCGCCTCTAGGCATCAAGCAACAGCAACAGCAGCAACATCATTATCATTCCCAAGCTCATCATCATCATCAGCATCAGCATACGCATTCGCATCTCTGCCAGCAACAGCATCATCATCATGATGTTTACTCACCTTTTGTGCGTCATGCGAATCTTGTTGCTGCCACATACGAGTTGCCGCTCTCGAGCAGCGCCCCAACTGCCAATGCCAGCTATCTAAGGTGTAGCTGCACAGCATTCTCCACCTTTCCACCATAAAAGCCAGCTAATCACAAATGTATTTCTTCTTCTTCTTCCTTCTCTTTTCTGTTCCCCGTGCAGCGCTCACTTGCCCGCTCGTGCCACACGCCTCCTTAATCGCTCGCGCCTACAGGATCAGCAATTGCAGCAATGCGCTAACAACGCCAACGATTCGGACAACAGTCTACGTTCCACACAGAGCGGCGGAGGTGGTGGTGGTAGTGGCGGCTTTGGAGGCGCCGCACGTAAACGCAACACACAACATTCTCGCCCCTCAACGGCCTCCTCCACATCCAGTCTGCAGCGGCGACAGCGCCAGCAACAGCAACAACCGGCAGCAGGCTCTTCCTCTTCACGTTGCAGTCAACGTCATCTGGAGCTGCACAGCTCATCGGACGATCTCATGTTATATGATAAGTCATTCAGGAATGCAATGATACAGGATGTGCTGCAATTCAAGAAGCAGTTGCTGCGCTTGCGACGCATTCTGCAGGAGGTAGGTGCCACAGACTCAGCCGGTTTTCTATCTCTCTCTCCATCATCTTCATTTTTCATGCCATTTTCTTTTGCACATGACAACGCACAACAACAACAACAACCAACCAACAACCAACCAACAACAACAAACTACATTTTCCACACACAAACAACGCACGCTTATCGCTCACCTTTTTATCTACATACTCGCACGTAGGAAGGGGATTTTGATTTGAAACGGGTAGGTTTTTATTTCTGACACAAACACTTGCTTACCTACCTGCCAGATTTTAGATACACCTTTTACCCTTCAATTAAATACTATTTAAATTTGATTTCCACGCTGTAATTGTTTAATTTATAATTGGTATAGGTTTTAAATTGTTCCTTGATCGACAAACCATTTTAATTCCCATTTCCTCTCTTCTCTTCTAGACGGAAACGCTGAATCCTTTTGAGCACGACAATGTGCAGCTATTTGCCGCTTGTGGTCTGGACAGTAAACAGCTGAACGATATCGATTTGGCCAGCCTAACGTCATCGACCACGGAGGATCCACTACAGGAGTTATCGGATCTACGTAGACAGGTGGTTTACCTTCAGGTATTTGCACGTTTTTTGCATTTCGTTTGCTTTGTTAACTGGGTGGCCTGCACACGATATACATAAATAATAAGTATTATATATACATATATACAAGTTATAGTGCTCCTTCTTATCAGTCCAATCAGCGCGCTCTCTGTGCCAACTTGGGCAAGTTTTTCACACGCTCAGCAGTCAACGCCAAGTTGTAGGCGTATTTTTCTTTCTTCTTCCTTTCTTTTCCATTCACTTTTGCCTTATTGCTGTTGTTTGCTAATGTTTGTTAGAGAAACATACATACATACCTTAGCACATAATATAAACATGCATACATAATATACTTACATATGGACATGATGGCATGTAAAATATACAAAGTGAAGAAAAACCAAACAGACAAACGAACTCTACCAAAATGCTTTCTTTGTGCAGTAGAAATTGCCTAAGTGGAACTGCGAAAATTAAATTATTGCATTATTTGTTTTTATTAATTATTTATTTTTGTTAATTTTATAAATAGTTTTTATTGATTATTTTTATTTCATTGTCATTTGTGCTTATCCTAAATGCTTAAGTTTCTTTTAAACGCTTAAGTTTCTTTTAAACAAATTTAATATTTTTAATTTTGGAACATTCCATAGACATTGGAATTGAACCGAGTATTATGTTCCTTTTCCTTCCATTCCCACTTAATTCTTTTACCTTTAACATGAGAATTGAATAGAGCACATATTGTGTTCCATTTGGTTCCATTTCCATTTAACTGTTAGTTTAGAAAGAAACGTTTCGGAATGTTCGTTCCCAAACAAGAACAGTCTAATGTATTTTACATAATAATTTCTAATTTTTAAATAAAATAACCAATGGAAACTGCGGAAAGAGGAAGGAAACATTTTAAATGCAATCTTTTTAATCTGTTTTGTTCGGTGTTCCCTTTAGGCCCTTTTTACTGCAACAATCTATTTTTAAATCTATAGTTTGTTTCTAGCTGTTTTGATATGTAAACCAAATTAACACACAACACGCAATTCGGAGTGTTATTTATATTTTCCTTAGCTACCAAAACACACAACACAACTCGCCAAAAATGAAACAAAACACCAAAAAACTCTAGCTGTTGTTGTTTATGTGTTTTAGCCAACAAAAAAATATATATGTTAATAGCCGTATTTAATACACTCTCTGGCTTAGTTTTATGAACCTACTATAATCTAGCGGCCTTTCATGCAACGTTGCACAAAACTGACATTTACTTTTTTTACATCTTACACACACACACACACACTCGCACACAACACACACACCATCTCAGGGTCAAGTCGATGATCGTGATCGGACCATTCGCCTGCAGCGAGACCTCATTGAGCAGCTGGAGGCTGAAAAGCGTCAAGCATGCGTGCCCGGTGATGGCGAATTGGCCAAGGAGCTCATTAGCATGGCCACACAAACAGAGCGTGTAAGTGTCAAACATATACATACATATGTACTATATATACATACATATATAGCTACTTTATCTGTGTCTGTGTGTCTGTATTTGTGTCGACTAACCGAAAACTATCGATCATTGTTCCACTTTCGCAGACACGACCACTTGCAATTGGTGCGGAGGGTTTGTCCAGGTAGGCAACCACCACTCTACTTACTATATACTTATAAGTTATAAGCCTACATATACATACCTATAGTTTATAACGCCACTCCAACACTCTTCAACACTAACAGCAGCTGCACTTTTCGTATTATGCCACATTTCAACAAAACTAATACAAAACGCCACTTGTTGCTGCATCGCGGCTTTCACGCGCCGCTGCCACTACTTGCCACAATATTTTGTTGCTTTTGTTGTTGTGGCATGCAAATCAAGCTGCCCACTTTTTGCCGGCTTTTGGCCAACAAACCAACCAGCCAGCCAGCCAGCCAGCCAACCAAGCGCTGACGCTAATGGCCACAATTTGTAATTGGAGCAGCCTAATTAGATTGTGCAGCAGCAGCGGCGGCGGCATTTGTATGCAAATTTTCCGGCTGTGCAACCCACAGCTGATGCTTTTATTGGAAAACAATAGACATATTTTATCGCCTTACCTCACATTTTATGTTAATGTTAATAATACTAGTCAACAAAAGCCCATATTCATGAATTTCATCTAAAACTTTAGAGGAAATCAGCCAAGTGCCCGTTGTTCAGTTTCATCTACATATGTCAATTATTTATATTATTCCAAAACATCCTATGAATGTGATGGTAGTTCACTTATCAAGTCAAGATAATAGTGTTCAGCTTTGTGAAATGAAATGAAAAATAATTAAAGCTTTAAAAATGAAAAGGATCATTTAAAAGCAACATAATAGTGTTCAGCTTTGTGGAACGAAATGCTCTTAAAAAACTGGATTTGTCTAAAAAAGATACGATATTTCAATGAAAAATAATTAAAGTATTAATGTATCTTTCAATCCTGATCATGACTTATATATGTTATCTGTAAGAATCAATCTCGAATTAAAAATTAATATAAAATCAGAATATATTGATTTCGATCATGCTGAACTCAAAAGATAAGGGTCAAATGGTGTTAGAAATCGATTATGAATTAAGTTAGTTTTGAAATTCAACACAACATTGAAATTACAAAAAATCCACTTGAATCACAGGAAATAAGGGGTTTTAATATAGTGTATTAAATCAAAATATATAACCCAGCTTGACTGTATCTTAGAAAAGGTTCAACTCGTACTTAGTAAATAAATAGTAGACTAGCAAGTTTTATGCTTTTCTCTCTTTAAAACGTATTTATGGCTTATCTCATTTATGATTTTCATGAATAGAAAGCTTCCCCTAATTAAACTCACCAACAGAACTCTCTTACAACATTAACTCTTGTACTAACCAACTGTGACTTTCTTCTCCACTCTAACTCTAACTACTCTCTGAAAACTGCTGCAATGGAACAATACACACATAAATTATTTGAACATATTATGGTTGAAAATATAATTTGCATACAATATGCTACACATGCCCTACACACACACACACACACACATACATACATACGTATATAGATTACAGTTTGGTGAACAACAGGTACTATTTTGTGATTTTCTACTAGCGATTGTTTTGCTCTGTGCGATTAACCTAATCTGTATACTACACCTAAGTTACAATTGTTTGGATAATTGCAATCCTTGTATATAAATTTAAACATGAAACTAACATAACTAACAAATAATAACTAATGTATACATACATATATATTTATACTAACCTATTGGTTTTATAGTTAATTAATGATTTATTTTAGTGATAAGCAATATTTTGTTGTCTACCATTTAACACTGTTTGTGAACTATTTTAATTGCATGCGGCAATTAAATAGAGTCCCAAGGTAAAGTGCTAACTAACACAACTCTCTAACAAAGATAATGCCCTTACTATACACACACACACACACACCCTAATTGCATGCCAGACTTTGTACTTTATATTTATCTGAAGAATCTGCTTGCATCCCCAACTAACTTGAGTTTCTTTGTTCGTAGAAGTAAGCCCGAATATACCAGCTATACAACGCATTTTCCAACACTGCATTGCAATGATTCCACGGTGGCTGCCACCACAATTATACGCCATCAGCAGCAGCAGCAACATCATCCGTGCAACAGCAACAACAGCAACACCAATTGCCAGGCCTTGAACCAGACCCGTCGCCACACTATTATTTCCACAACATTAACAAATTACAATCAACAATTGGCAACAAACATGCCACGACGCGCTTCCATTGCCTGGGATCCAGCTGAAGTTGCAACTGCGACTGCTGCAGCAACTAGAAAGGCAGCAGCAGCAGCAGCAACACCAACACCTGCTTACAAGCCGGTGCGTATTACGCTCATAGGCGAGCCCTTGCCCCCACAAAATGGTTACCATAAAGTGCAACCAACCCAACAACAACAACAACAGCAGCAAAATGGCTTAAAGACACGCTACAGCAATGGCGGCAGCTGCCACAGTGTGAAGAAGGCTTCTTCCAATGGACAAACACAACATTATCAGCCGTTGTACAACAGCAACAAAATGACAAACCCAACCGTAACTATAGTCTGATTTGAATACCACACTTCTTCTTCGTCAACTTCTTCGCTCAGCTAACAAAACGCACAGATATCGCAGGTCTTCAAGATTAATGCGTATATTTACTAAACATAATGGAAACTCAATACAATGTCCAACACTTATTTGTATGTTTTACAACACTGGAACAGTCACAAAATGATCAGAGCAACTGCAATTTGCACCACTTTTTTGTTGTAGAATTTATGGTATGTAAGCAACATTTTTATTATAATTTAAAATTTGATTTCTAATACCTGAGAACGCTATATAGCCGCTGAACTTGCCCATTTTCCAGAATATTTTGCTCAATTTCCATTTTCTGAAATTAGTTCAGGTTTTCAGAATACGAAAAAGGGATCCAATGCGGACGATGTTTGTGAAACAGATATATGTATCTTACGCTTAAATAACCAACATCCAAATAACTCTTAAATCAACCAGTTCCGAAAAAAAAAGTATTCTTCACCTTTTTGAAAACCCTATTATAATTGTCTGTACCTTTTAAAGCATTCAAATCCTTAGAAAGGAATTTGAAAAGCTAGATAATCAATAAATTAGTCTATTTGCCAGACAACTATGTATATGGAATCATAATCAGGCTACCCTTACAATTAGGATCTGCTCCGTTGCTAGAATTAAAATTCGAACTTAGGCCTCATAACTTGATTTCAAAAATGGGGAAAAAAGTATACCCGACTTTGATTGTCTTGTGGATTTTGTAATTGTAGTATTGAAATGGCAGCTGGCTTATTCTTCTGATTAATTAGCTTTTCTCAATCTTGAGGGCTAAACTGAAAAATGAGCAAAATATTATACAGAATTTAAATCGCTAATACCCTAAATAGTAATACCCTCACTTTTATTAATAAACTCTCGCTGTGCTCGTAAATATAGAATGAGAACTCAAAATACCGTGCTGCTAAAATCGTTTTGTCTACCTCTTTCTTTGCTCAAAACTTCATCTGCTTCTTCATCCCCTCCGCCCCCACACTCTTCCTACACAAACTATAATTTTGATGATTTCGAAATTATTTCAATCATACTTATACACATACATACTACATACACAAATTATCGAAAACGCCGCCCTCCACATAATGTCAATGGAACATGAACATAACATAATGTTAATAGGAGAATTGTTGGATTAATTTACAGTTATGGGCAGTTGCAGTTGCTCACTGATTCCCCCATCCCTGCTCCCTCCCACACACTGCGTAGCTTTTAAAGCAGTACTCCAAGCAGTGTCAACGATTTAAATATCGAAATACTGGAATGTGTAAATGCAAATTAAATTAAACCTTACTTAAAGAAAACAAACATATTTATACACGCAAATGAATTATGCAACTCAATTAAATTAATTTAGTGGATTATATAAAAACTGCATTATATACTACACATATGTATCTATGTATATGGCACAGACTCTGATTCTGACGAGTTAAAGGCCACCATAAGCATTCTATGGTAATAATTATTAATACTAGTTCTGTTATTTAATTTTTAGTTGTAGCTTTTGTGTTGTAATTATTGTCTCCTTCTATCTACAAGTGCTTAATGGCATCATTATTTTAATTGTAAGAAAATAGACATAAAACGATTCTATATATTTATAGCAAGTTATCAAAGTATTATTTTCATTTCTACTAGAGCACAATACCTTCTAAATATGAACAAGTAATTATAATACTATACATACATTTATTATAGCTAAAAAAAAAACATACGTATATGGTATGTACTGTAAACAGTGGAATATAAGCAGCATCCATAAGCCTAAATAAAAGTTATATAGAGAGTATACTGATATGTATATGCGTATGAGTAGTAAAGCTAAAAATCCCGATGTGTTTTTATTTTATTCAACCGAAGACTTTGTTTACAGCCTCAGCTGTTGAGTGTTGAGTTTGTTGTTTTAAGCCGCTTCTTCAATCATCACCATGACGCTGCTCTCTGGCTCTCTCTCTCTCTCTCTCTCTCTCTGGGTCTCCCCTGCATTGAGCACCAAACTGTGTTGCCCATTCTTCAAAGTAAAAAAAAAACGAAGCTAGTTCACACAAAGTAGAACAAGCTAGAAATGGCTTCCATAAAAAGAGTAAAATGTCGAAAAGTCTGCTCCTATAAGTTACAGTTATTCTCAAAGGAAAACAATTATCTTCATAAACAAACAAATTTTTAAACAATTGACAATGATTGCATCTTGTCGGTATTGCTAAATTCAATTGGTCTTAGTACGGGGTTTGCCATCCTTGTCTTATAAACTTTTGTCATAAAAATAAAAGAGTAAATAAAAAATTTAAAAAATAAAAACAAAGAGATTTTTATTGTAGGGTCTTGACTTGGTTGCTGGCGGGAAAATAGACAGATTGGCAACACTGATCCTGAGTTAGCGGTTCATGGATTGCCCAACCGGATCGCGCTCTCGCTCTCTCTCTCCCACTCTCTCCCATTACGGGGGAAGAAACTGGAATTGAACTGTGATTGTGTTCTTATCGCCGGCGTGCGTAAACACTTCGCAATGTCAGTTCTCGTTGATCTCCCGAACGATGCGCAACACGAGAATGGTGTCTTCTTCGCTTATTAGTGTGGTGGTGTTTTTTTGGCTCTGCCATGGCTGCCTGCAACTTATCTCGGCCCAGCTGTGTGAGGTTCGTGGCTGGCGCAGCTTTGAGTGCACTGAATTGGCGAGCCTGCAGGACATATATGTGGATCCGGCTCAGTCAGAAAACTGGCACAGCCTCAGCATTCGCAATGTGCGCACACAGCTCTCAATCGATTCAGGTATTTGCAAACCACACTCAATACTAAATATATTGACAACCTGCAAGGGGCAGTGGAGATTAGTTTTAGTTTGTATTGCCAGCCGTTTGGCGAGTTCATTTATGTATGTATGTACGATACTAAGATATTTTGAAGTATTAATTCCAAGAAAGTAACCTTTAGGGATTGATCTTAAACACATATTTAAAGGGTATATTTCCAGTCGATTAACTCAATAACCTGTTTAATGTGATTCACTTACTTTATTCTAAAAAATTATCCATTCACAGAGCAAGTTTATTTCAAACCATATACACATAGCTGCATTGTTTAATATAGCTGCCACATCTTCCTCTTACTCGTATGTTCAAATAATGATAAGAAGCTTTAGGATTTACATTTAAAAAAACGAAGTAATGCAAGCTCTAGCGATGATTATCATTTCTAATTTTTATTAAGCAGAGCCTTTTTTTGAGGCCCTTTCATTCCAACAAATTTCAGATTCAATGCTAGGGCTTCTTCTAAAACTATGTAATAGCTTCTTACAGTATCTTATTGAATTTTTTTTTCTGAAGCCCAAAACCTGCAGCATCTGTCGAGTCTGAAAAGCTTGGATGTGTCGAATGTGCCGCGTCTAAGACTGGAGAGAAGGGGCTTCAGCGCTCTGGGAAATCTGCGTCAGCTGAACATCAGCAGCTGCGGCCTGCAACGCCTCTATTCAACCCACTTTTCGGCTGAGTCAGCGCTACACCAGCTGGATGCCAGCTACAATGAACTGACAGGCCTCACAAAGGACGTGTTCTTCAGTCTGCGCAATCTGATTTATGCAAATTTCTCACACAATTCTCTGGAGACGTTCGAACTGCCGCAGATGCCAATGCTTCAGCATCTGGATCTGAGCCACAATGAGTTGATTAATGTGACGCTGGAGGAATGCCCAAAACTACAGTTTTTGGTGCTGAATGAGAATCTGCTCAGTCAGGTTGGTTAGGCTGTGGTCAGACAGGCGAATAGTTTGCACACAATTTTGTCAAGCTACTGCCATCAAAGATATAAACAATCCTATACTGAAACCATTCACTTGCAAATTAGTATGAGTTTGTGTGCAAACTATTTGCGTGTCTGAACAAAACAGGCAGTCAGTAAAGTGTACCCTCGCTTTTACAGCTAACAGCTAATATTTTTATTGGCCTGCCGTCTCTTCTGGAGCTGGACTTGTCCAAAAATGCCATCGTAGCCATAGAACCGGAAATATTTGAGCCCCTGACGCAGTTACGCGTTTTGAATCTCTCTATAAACGTGTTGGATGCCGTGCGTCCCAATGTGTTTGGGAACGTGGCGTTGCAACAATTAGATCTGAGCACCAATCACATACGTCTGCTGTTTGACAAGCAATTCATGGGACTGCCACGTTTACAGTTGCTGGATCTGTCCAGGAATAACATAGCCAGCCTGAATGAGGCCCACTTTGTGGGATTGTCATCTCTGCGAAAATTGTATTTGGAGTCCAATGATATTATCGAAATCAAGACACAGACCTTTGCCGACCTCAGCGATCTGGATACGCTCGATCTGTCACACAATAGCATTGAGTATCTGGACGAGACGATCTTCGGTGCTAATACGCTGCCCCGACTGCGCAAATTAAATCTGGGATCAAATCGCTTGAAGCGTCTGCACGCCTTGGCCTTCTCCTCCCTCCCGTTTCTGGAGTACTTGTCTTTGGGCAACAACGAGCTGAGCAGTCTGGACGTACGCATGTTCTCGCCTATGCGAAAGCTCAAGAAATTGCATTTGGGCCATAATTCATTGGAGGAGATTAGCACTGATGTTTTGGAGAGCTTAAACAATATCTCAGAGCTACTTCTCGATAATAATAGATTAACTTTTCTGCCCGATGTTAATACTACTTTTCCCGCCCTCAAACGTGTGTCCATCGAGGGCAACCCCTGGCAGTGTCCTTGCTTCCAGGAGATAGAACGCTGGCTAGCCACCAGACATGTGACCTATCTGCGTGAGGGCACAGGCTTCTACAAGGGCGAAAAGCCACTCTGTATGGTCACATCGGTGAATTATTGTGTGCAGAATGTGGAGCTGGTACGAGGACATGGCATTGTGGATAAGATCGAGGAGGAGTTGGGAAAATACAGGGACGATGACGAAGACTGATAATGAATCTTAAGAATTAGTAAGTAATAATATAATCATACAATATTTGGTGTGGAGTCGCAGAGCATCTATGTACGTCGACTAGATTTTTGGGGGTTTTCTTTAAAACCAACAAACTGGAAAGCCTTGAGATAATAATTGGCTTTCTTGCTGTTGGAAACCAATTTTTTTTTTGTTAAAAAAAGAGCAGAAAATAAACATCTTTAAATTCGTTTAAAAGATTGATCCATACAAAAATTTCATCCAGCTTTTGTTTTAAGTCGGCAATAAATTATTCAATCAACAAATTCAAATGAAATAATAACGGAAAAAAAGATAATCGTTTGAAAAGCAATTTTTTGCAAATGCTTGTAGCATAGTTTTAGGAGTCGAATTGTAAGTGATTGAAAAAATAGCCAAAACACTCCCTTCAATCAAACGTTGTCCGATAAAAAGCGTCTTATTGGACTTTTTCACGCACTTCCCATTTATTTAGCTAACAAATTTTGAAGTTGGTATTAGAGGTGAGCTCGTGCTACGTGATGTTCTACAACGTTTAATAGCAAAAAGAGAAATATGTATATAGTGTGTGATCTCCCCTCTAGTTAAATAAAGCCACCATTAATTAATTTGTTGACAGGTGGCAGCATATCATATTTTCATTTGTTAAACACAGATTTTTGCGCTATTTGTTTGGACACAATTATATTCGGTCGTCTAATCATTATACGGATTTCTGTTTCCTGCGTTGCGCATTTAATTTAATTTACAAATTAACAAATAGAAATCGAGTAATTTAAGCGGACTTGACGCGCAGAGCCAAAGCACTCAAATCGGCAATGCACTTGTTTAGGGTCTCCTTCTCCTGTTGGGGCGAGATGCTGGACAGCACACTGGACACAATCCAGTTGACCATGTGCTTCTGATTGAGGCGGCGCTCAACATGACGGCACTCGACCTGGTAGTCCAAGCGACGCTTCACCTCTGAGTAGACATTCATGGCACGCTCGCGGAAAGCAGCCTCCAATTGCAATGCGATGTTCTCCTTCTTGGCCTCCATCAACAATAGAGCACCATCGGCGCGCCATTGCTCCTTCTTTTCGGCCTCGATGGCATCGGCGAGCACCTTCAGCTCAGACTCGCGGCCTTCCTTCCATTCGGATTCGATTTTCTGAAATGTGGAAATAGTTTTAGTTATTTTTCTTTTCTAACGCGTCCTAAGAACTTACATCGATTTCGCCATCTGCCCATTTGGCGATGACTGGGCCTAGTTTCTTCACAGCAATAATGGCCATGATGCCGAGCGACAGACCGCTGTAGTATTCATGCTCCATGACGTAGATTTCCTTGGAGCACAGATAGGTGATGAGACCTACGCCGAATGTGTAGGGTCCGGTAACACCAGTTTTGTTGTAGAAGAACTGGAACCATTCCTCTGGAATGAAACCCAAACGCACCTTGCCAGGATGTTCGGGGCGCTGGCGGCGATCAACAGCACCACCAGCGGGCTGTGCAGCAGCGGCGGCAGCTGCTGAACGGGCGCCAACCACGCTCAATGGGCGTTGTGCTGCAAAATACAAAAAATCAATAAACATTACAAAGATGTGCAAAAATCTATGCAAAAATGTTCTGACGCTCGAGTGCGGCGGCTGCGCTGCCCCCTCATGATTACATAAACCACGATGTCTGGTCGCGTAACAATTTTCATGTCGCTTTGTGCCACACTTTTATAATGTGCACAATTAACAATAATCGAAATGTGCAGTTGAAATCAACTTAACTTCATTTTTCTTAATTACCTGCAAGAAGTGCGGCTCTGGGAAACATTTTCTTAATGCTGTTGCGACGAATTTGCCTAAGAAATTGACGTCCTCACCACTTTGCCCGTAGCGACAATTCACAATAGTAATCTGTGAATGACATTTGATTAAGGTGTTGCCAGATCGCGGAAGTATACCAAAAATGGGCAGCGAGTTGAAATTTGAAGTATTTGGCCAATGGCGGGCAATCGTTTTGGTTTTATGGCATTTCATAGAATAACATACCTTTATAAATAATACGCAAGTACAATATCAATTGCATTGATGCTTGTGAACCAGCGTTTTGGTGGTACGTAAAAAATATAACACCTGTGCTCTGCCAGAACTGCTCAGTTGCTATTTTCGGGGTGATTCTTCCACAACGTGCGGCAACGCTCTGAATGTGGTGATTTTTTTTTTTGAATGTGTTATTCGATCAAGTTTTTGAATATTTTGGCTACATTTGAAAACTATTACTGTGTTTATGTATGTATCTGCCTTCAAATCGATTATGGACACCCGATCTACTGAGTCTTCAGCTAAAATCTTAATTTTTCCATCGATTTGAAATAGCACATCAATATTACCCAGCGTCAAAACACATTTCATTACAAAATACGTATATTCCATTCAGTTCTATTAGCTTAAATGCTTCAAAAGAGTAGTGTCCTTCATGAAAGTCATCTCTAACTTTTCAAGTCTTTATTTTACAAATTATTTCAATTCACTAAATAAATTGCGCCTAAAAAAAATTAAAATCAGCTGCTAACATTTGTCATTAAAATACTTTTACGAAATACTATATAAACAGCAAACGCGAACAGATTTTAAATTTTTGTAGCTCTGAAGATATATGCATGTCTATTTTTTTTCTGTTTCTTTTTCAAAGCCGTTATTGTATATTAAGCGTTTAAGTTAAAGCATGATCATCTTTGTTTGTTGTTGTTGCTGTTATTGTTGTTTTTGTATTGGCTAAACTAAATGACTGTCTTATTGTGCGTAAAAAATACTTATAAAAAACAAAAACACATTAAATAAAGCGTATCTATCGAAATCACTTGCGCTAGGGTTACAGAAATTAAAACAAAAATCCATACAACTATTTACAATCGATGAACATAATTGAAAACGTAAGGAATACATATAAAAAATTATTATTTTACAACTTTTAACTTATGTTTTGTTCTTTTTCTGTTTCTTTTGTATACAACACGAAATGATTTTGGAGGCGCCGAACATTTACAATGGGAGGTGCTTATGTATGAGTGTCTGTTTGTGCAGCATGTACTTATGTGTGTTTGTGTGTGTGAAGCGTTAGACGTGCACATACATATATGTATAAATATACACATTCAACAAGTCGATATATAATGCTAATATTAACACACTTATAAGAGAGTGAGAGTTTTGTTGACTCGGAAGGATGTTCTTTCTAAATATAAATATATATGTAGTCCAGTCGTGCTGCAGCGCCAGCCATTCATTGTAATTGAATCATTCAATAAAATTAAAGCGTGTCAGCAGCTTGTGATAGAACCAACGCACCACCTGCTGTACTCTCGCGGCCACCCAAACGCAGACACCGCCAGTCAGACGCACCTTAGACGCATAATGCTTGATATGATCTGTGTGGCAAGAGTTAATTAGAAAACCACAAATACACAAAAAGCATGAAAATGAAAAAACAAACAGTGACCAATGCATATCTTGTAAAAGGATATAATAATGTCCAAGGCGGATGGCCGCCATTTATATATGTGACATAGGTGAAGCCATCCTTCCCATTCCCACGAATATTGTAGTAATAGGGCAGAAACGAATGTAGCGTAAATCTATAAACAAAGGGAGTGGCAGTTAGTGTATTAACAGCCACAAAATTCGATACAGATACAGACACTCACCTTCGTTTCTCATAGAAAAATATGGCAGGTTGATTCGTGGTTAGCGTGTGTAGAAAAATAGCCTTGACCGAATGGCGTTCGGCAGTCGTCAAATGGTTCATAAGAGCATCCAACAGCAGCGATCCGATACCATTCCGTCGATGCGTCCGGTGTACGCCCAGCGATAGAATGTAACCCACATCAGCAGTGCGTCCCATCGAGTCTGATAGTATACCTTTGTCCTGCATTTGAAAACCGCTCAGCCTCGTGTACAATTCATCACCTAATATGTTGGCTATTACCTCCTTATTGACATTACGATACGGTTTGATTTCGGCAACAATTAAACCAATTATGGCCAGATTATATACAGCGGCTAATGCAAAGAAACGCGTGCTGGAGGTAATGTCCTCGTACCAGGACAGCGGATAATCGATGGGAAACCATTCTTGGCAGAGAGTGCGCACCTAAAACAGCAAACAAAGATGTGTGACGAGTTATTTGTTTAATTAGTCTCTGCTCTAAATACTCACCTCTGTTAAGTCGTCGGGCACCAAAAACCTTAGCTGCACATCATTAATGGAACACAAAGGCACATGATCGCAGTCGACGCGACTAATATCGTTGCTGGCCGATGCATTGTAGTGTTTATTGTAGCTAAAACAAAGAAAAAAACAGGAAGACCACGTCAGGGGCAGCAAGTAAGACACTGTTTAATAAATAAGTATTATAAACCAACAGTGTGAAGTCACTTGCATAATATTACAAAGCAAGAACGATGGAGGAGGCGGCGACTCATCAATAGATAAACAAAAGCTCCACTAACAACCGGCCACAATATCAACAACAACAACAGTGGGGCGGTCTGGAACTTAATTCTTGAGCGCCGCACGTAAATTGACCCAATTTGTGGAAAGACCCTTAAGCATGAATTGTCATTGTCTGTTGCTGACCTACCTCTGCCCCCTCCCTCCCCCTACCCATCCACAGCCACCTTGTTGTCGTTAGGCATAAAAAGCGGACAGCTCTGTGTTTATCAAACGATTTCGTAAATTTTTTACTCACAGCGTAAATTGTGCCATTCTGTTACTGTCACTGTTGGTGCTCCGCTGCTGCTTCGGCTTCCAATCAGAATCAAAGTCATGGGCAGTTGAACCCCTTGAGCAGTTTAAACGCCGAATTTTGTAGATTTGCGTGAACGATATCAATACGAATATTTGTAATGTGTTGCCTGCTGGTGCTGGTATTTGGTAGTGTGTGTGTGCGCGTTTAATTGGCTTCAATTGAAATTCACATCCGCACACATAAATAAACTACAAACCACTTGCTGCTACCTCTCTGCCAACCACCTCACTACACTCTAGCAATACTAGCACCACTCCAAGCTACTGGCCACTATCTCCCGTTGTTGTTGCTGTCGTTTCTGCTGCTGCTTCTGTTTGTGTGCACTCCATTTATTGTGTGCTGTGGATGAAAGCTTTATGCCGTTCGTTTGCTGCATTGCTCGCTTAAATATTCTTTAGTTCTTAAACATTTTTACTGCATCGAGTTTTTATTTTGTATTTCCGAAGAAGAGGAAGAGCTACTGGTGCTGCCACATCGCCTCCAACATACTGACTGGTGCTGCCAGACTAAAATTCGGGTTTGGCGCGCTCACATATTTCAAGTAAATACGCTCTTTGGTGTTTCTAGCATTGAAATTGGTTTGATCAAATATAGATAGATAAAAACCGAAGAAGTAGATATCAACATCTGAAAATTCGTCAAGTCACTCGTTGAGGAGTTACGAAACAAGTCTCAAGAATTCAATACGAGAGAAATTGTAAAATATAAATGAAGATATTTTATTAGTCGAAAAAAATTGGTCTTATTCTTAGAATCGGCGAGTTTGGCCCACAGCTTGGGAGCTGCTGGGCGTCGGCGCCGTTGTTGGCTTTGTGGGATCGTCCAGCACACGCACTAACATGGAGCTCTTGGGGCCGGTGCACCATGTAATGCCATGCTCGTCAATGACAAACGTTTCGAGCGTAACCTGAAACTGGCCGCCACTAGAGATGGGCAGCAGAAAGCTGCCGGAGAGGAAATCACGTTGTGGCTTGACTGTTTGATTGAGTGTGACGGTATCATTGTTGGGCTTCATGAGTTCGCTGGTTAGTCGTGGCGTCATCAACTGCGAGGTGAGGCTAAGTTGCACGGAGTCGACGCGTCGAAAATGTTGCTTCTTCTTAGTGAAATGTTGCAGCACACCTTCCACTTTAATGACCAGATTGCTGCCCGATTGCACAATTACTGGTTCCGAAGCACTGCGAGGCTGTGGACTCACCGATAGCTTGATCTGTGTGGACTGCAAAATCTGGAAGAAGTAGCGCGGCAGACAGAGTGGTGTCTTTGTTATTATCTCGATTTGCGCAATAATCACATCCAGATGTCGGTTGCTAATCGTCTTTGCGTTTGGAGGCTCCTGTGGCAAATTCTTTTGCATTAGCTCCATACGCTGGCAGCTGGACGCAAAGTACCGCGTCTCCGGATGCTCCCCAGTGGTTAGAAAAACAGGCGCTTCTGGCGGCGTGGCATAGCAAATGGACTCGATAATGTGCGCAAAGAGTGCGCACTGAAATTCAGCGACTTCGAGAAATTCCAGCGTCACATGATCGGCATCGAAAGATGATTTGTAGAGACGCGCATAGGACTCCTCGCAGGCTTTCAACGTTTTAACTAGTTTGCGCAGTTGGTTTGTGACATGTCCGAACTTCTGTAGATAGTCGCGTGCATTTTGTGCCAAGCTTCCAGCAATTGCTGGTGGTGGCACAATCACCTGAGCATTCTTCACTGTAACGGCAAGGTGAAGAGTTTGCAGAAACTGTGCACGAATCTTCAGATATTCCAGCTGAAAGGTGCACGGATGCTGTGGCGAGGAACAGGCGCGTAAACTAGCCAATGCCTGTTGATACAAATTGCTGGCCATTTCCAGACGCTTCATCAGTGGAAGCATCGGCTCCGGTGCTGCTGCCAGTGCATAATTATTCCGCATGTGCGCATAGTCTAGTCCATAGTTCAAAATGCACTCGGCTTGGGAGATTTGCGTGAGGGCAACGAGAAAATAGTGCATGTGATCGCTGATGACCATCTCAGAGACCTTCGTATAGATGTGGGCTGCGACATAATGATGACCGTAGCGACTGGCTGTTCTTGCTATGCGATACAATGTCCAGCAGTTGGCACGATCCAAGCATTTCTCGAAACACTGTACCACCATTTGGGGCAGATAACAGCCCATGGTGGTCTGCAACACCAACGCGCTTAGAATCTCAACAGTGTGCCACTGGGGATCCGACTGCTCCGCATTATCTATGAGTTTGTTTAGCTTGTGGAGTATAAGCGGAAGACGTTCAAGCATCGGATTGATCTGAGCAGAAAGAGAAAGTGGATTATGTTTTGTTATACAAGTATATACAATTTTTTTTGTGTTTAGTGAGAAGTAAATCTAATCTAGAGGAAAAAACCTACCTTTGGGGGCGGAGGTTCGTCAGTTTGCATAACCATTTCATCCTCCTCTCCCTCAAAGCTAGAGAATGCGTATTTTTTTAACTGGAAATGCTCGCAGAGTCCCACCAGCGCCTCACATATTAGCTCCGCATTGGCCGGCGGATACGTGACGTTGTCGCCCAATGTGTTAGTAACCATTTCTATAAAGTCTGCTCCAAACTCTGCATCCGCTTGCGTTATGCGAATACCGTAGGCCAAGATACGTCGCAGATCTTTCGTGCATTCAGCTTTGCGTGCCGTGCATAGAAGCAGACCCTCCATGTGTAGATTTACCACATCCAGAATATCATCGACTTGGGCCACCTGCTTCTTCAGACCGTAAGCGACCAGCGCAGCCAGTACTGCCATAGCCTGTGTGGCGGTTGTATAGTCGTCCAGTTTACTGATGCACACAATGCAGAGCTTGAGAAGCGCGGCTCGGTGCTCGTTGAGCAACTGCTGGCAGGTGAGTGGGCAGTCTATCAGCTTCAGTAAAATGGAGAGGAATAAAAAATGTTCCTGGGCACCAGTGCAGGTGTCGAATTTGCCAATTAAAGCGCCAATGGCGTTCTTGGGCCAAGCATGGACACTCTGCGTGCCGGCTAGTTCGTAAAAGGAGCGCAGCACTTGCACGCGCACTGGCGTTCGAAAGTCCTGCATGAAGTCCAGCAACACATCTAATTGGGCGGGCACGCCCACCAATGTGCGGGCAGACAATTGCGTCAATGTATTGATAATGGCCACCACAAAACTCTGCGCTGGATATTTGGGCAATAGCTCCAAGCATAGCTTGCTAACCAGCGCCGCAGTATTGGCATCATGATGCATATGTCGAAGTACAGGAATGAGTAGCAGCTTCATGGGCACCGGCACTTGCAGCGACTCGATCATGTCCGAGATTTTCGCACACATGCTGATGGCAAAGGAGCGCGACTGGGCGGCAAAACAACTGCTAGCATATATGGCTGCCTCCACCTCCACTGTGTCGTGACTATCAAGCGCTCGACGTATTGCATGATGAACCTGCTGCTTTTCTGGAATGACGCGAGAGACGGCACCCAGGGTGCGCAGCAGCAATGCGCGCGCCACAGGATCATTCGAATGCATTACCATGAAAATGCGTCGCACAAAACTATCGATACTAAGAATCTTGTCCAGGTGGTTCTCGCTCTGTTGGCATACTCGCAGAACCCAAAAGCGCAGCAAGTTCGAACCGCTGACAAAGAACTCGGACAATTTGATGAATGAGGAGTTGATCAGTATCGGAAACGGATACTTTTCGAAAAGACGTGGAAACCGCACAATGGCCTCGCATTGTATACCCTGTTTGTGGCTCCTTAACCCCTTGTCCAGCTCCATGAGCACTGCATTGGAATCGTGCTCGTTGTCGTTTAGGAACGTTTCGTTGAACATGCTAACGCGTGTACCCGTTAGATGTGCCATTTTAAAAAAGTAAATTTTTAACTATTTACTCAGCAAATTGAAACAATTGTGCGCTTTATAGAAATAAACAAACACCGCAAAGTTGCCGACAGCGAAGTGGCAACGTCAAGCACTTTCAAAATCAGCTGTTCGCGTTAGTCTGCTTGTAGTTAGTGTAGCGCTGCCCATTAACGCGGGCTTACTCTTATGTATTTGTGTTTGTGAAATTGCGCTTTTTTAGTTATTGCGTGTCCACTATGTTTGTTTTAAAAAAGCAGGGCACAGGTGCGTAATTAGTTGTTTTTTTTTTACCAACATCTTATGCCATACCTCCCCTCTGTCTTGCAGATCATGAAAAATTTGTGTTGGTGCCGATAAAGTCGTCCTACAGTGTTGGCCGTCTGGGTACCGACTTATTGCTTAAGGAGGACCTCAGCGTTAGTCGTACTCATGCCATCCTACACCTGCCGAAAGCAGAGCATGAACCGCTTAGAATTGAAGATCTTGGCTCCACGTTTGGCACATTTCTTAATGAAAACATCAAAAGCGATGGCAAGAAAATGAAATCCAAGTCAACGGCAGTTTTGAAAATGGGCGATAAAGTTCGTTTTGGGGTTTCCAATGTTTGGGAGGTGACACAATTAAAGTTAATAACAGCTACATCGGCCCTAAGCCCCACAGCTTCCATTGAGTTGGAACAGTCCATTAAACTTCTGAACGGTACCATTGCACAAAACTGGACGAATCAGTGCACGCACTTGACGATGACCGATTTGTCGGTTACTGTAAAGCTGCTGTTGGCCCTACTAGACCACAAGCCCATTGTAAATACCAAATTTTGGCAGGCATTTGTTAAAGCTGCACGCCTCATTCATGTACGTGAGCCATGGCCACGTCCCGAAGACTTTGAACCTGTTCAACTGCACAGCATTGACATCAAATGGCGCTCAGAACGAACCAAATTGTTTGCGGGCAAAACATTTGTGTTTATGAGTAGTAAGCATCTCGAGACGTACAGCTTAGTGGTGCAGAAAGCTGGAGGTGCCTTTAAGGATCTTAATTCGGGCGTGCGTAAAACATTTCTAACCAAAAAGGACGTAGTGGTTGTACAATATGTGCCTTCCACACAGTCTCAGGGAACGGAAACCATAAATAGTATTACAGGTAAGCCAATCAAATCCACCAATAATAATATCACTTTTTACTAAAAAAAATGCCTTTTAGAAATACTGGAGCGATCTGGCTCCCGTGTAATACCCGAATACGAAATCGGTATGGCTATTTTACACTGTTCTATCGAAAAGTACTGCAATCCTTGGTACAAATTTAAAGAAGAAATGATGAGCACGACCCAATCAATGACTGCATCAGAAAATATATCTGCCAATACGTCTATAATTGTGCCAAATACCGTGCAACCAGTAAATGTTGAAACAGGCACCACAACCAGAGCTACGGAAGTGATTGTGCCAGAATCGGAGGAGATTGAATGTCTTACGACTAGCAGTGAAAAGCAATCAACCGAGCTCAAACAGTCTGCTAAACAGAGGGAATCAATTGCTAGAGTTACACGAAAGCGTAGTCATGCTATGTTTGTGGATTCCTCTGATGAGGACTTAGATGATAATGAGAATGAAACTAAAAAGTCAAGAGCCAGCGGAGTCCGAACTAAGCCAAATATATCAACAAAAAGTACGGCGATTATTGACTTAAATAACAAGCAACTAAAAATTGTAGAACAACAGAAAGCTCCCCCACCCACAACGCGCAACAAACCCACAGCTGCAGCACAAGCTAATCACGTTGTAGAAAAGGAAGACGATGCGGAACTCTTTCAATACAATAGCAACGATAAATCTCCTTTTTCTGAATGCCCGGAGACTAGTGTTCGGGCCAACACCAGATCAGCAGTCAAGTCTTTGCCCAATGTTCAGATCAATCGGCCAACTAAAATAAGTGTGCGAAATTTTCTGGAAAAATCCCAACAACAAATCGCTCCCGAAAATCTAAGAAACTCTATTGATTCACAAGCAGATGCGAAGTCGCGAAAGCGTGTGCACATTGAAGTCCTCAACGAAAGCGATTGCGATGATGACGATCTATTTAATTTTGGAGACAGCAAAAGAGCCAAGAATACAAAAAATGCTCGCACTTCCAACGGCAATGAAAGTGGCGATGAAAATGATGGTCTTTTTAACTTTAGGGAAGAGACAGATCAAGACAACAGCGATGTAGAAGCTGTCAATGAGGACTCAATGGACACACAACCTTTTGTTCCAGATAAGGGGAGAAAATCGAAATATGTTTTGCCCCAGCCAAAGCAAATCCCACGAAAAATAAATATATCTGGCTGGCTCTCATGTAGCGGGCTACATGACGATGTTAAGCAAGAGTTGAATGTGAGTGATTCGGCGACAGTGCAGGAGAAAGTGGAAGGAGTCGAACTATTGGATACTTTAAACTCGGTAAAGCAAGAAATAGAAGACAAAGACGATACTGACACATTACTAGCGCACAAGAAATGGTTGGCATCCATAAAAGATGGTATACAGGTGCGCTTGGGAGCGCTGAACATAACATCAAACCGTCCCCTTGATCAAACGGATGCCGGTAACGGCCAGTATAGTGGACGAAAGAATTTCAAAAAGTTTACCAAGGTAAGAAAAGCAAATTACTATTGCATTGTAAATTATTTTCACATCTAATTGTAGCCTTGTTTCTCTTATAACTACAAAAAAATTTCAAAATTGTAATCCCCCTTTCACTCACAAGACTCCAGTAGAAAAGCATTTTTAACTTTAAAATTTGCGAAACTTTGATTTCACGATGTCTTCCTAACTAGTATTTTATCACAGAGGAACATGACCTAAAGTTTCTTTGGCAATTCGATTTGTTGTTTTAAGTACCAGTATTCCTTTCCACGTGGTTTTTATTAAGACTCCTGTCTTACCAATTCAAGTATTCTTTCTTGATATGAATTCTTTTATTTTTCTCCATATTTTTTTGTAGCTTTGAATTTTGATAAAACTCAAATATTGTTTTCAAATTGATATCGAAACATTTTTGTTTTTTACTTGAAATTAATTTTAAATAACAATAATAGCTAAATTAACAAAGGCTAGTTTATTAAATTTTGTGAAAACTGCTAAAAAGTAATTCTTTACTTAAATTACATTTTGTTGAGCCTTCTCTCGACTTAACATAACACAAAGTCTCTTTAATATTCTTAATTAATATTGCCCCCTACAGCAACGATGTCTTCATCCACAGAAGAGCATAGTTGAAGTCAAGCGTCTGCAGTTAGTTGAGGGAATGGTAATGCCCGTTTAAATGTCATAATATACTCTTATATGAATAGATTGTCTAAATTTTGCTGCTAATAAATTTGAGAAATATACTCAACGCTTTCTTGTGTTCATTGGCAAGCAGCTTGCGCTCGAACAGAGTAACCGCAGCCTGCCATTCGTGTTTTTTTAGCGCTTTAGTGATACAGTTTTCCGGGGCCTGTTTACGTGACTTGGACTCACGTCTGATGAAGGTTTTGACATCCTCAATTGTTTGTAGTGAGCTTACACTGAAATCGACAGTTTGTGTTGAGGGATTTCGTGTTGCTTTGCGTTCAATTAAAGTTCCCACATCCATTTTGGCCCGCTGTTGGGCTTTTTCTAGTTTTGTTATCACCGGTGGCGGTTTTGACATAAGACTAGTGGTCGCTGTTTTCGGCTCCTCTGGCTGTGTGGTTTTAATGAGGTGCAAGTTGACCGGCAAAACACAGTCCTCGGGAAGAAATCTGTGTCTATCGACTTGCGGAAAGTGGGAACATTGCGGTCGCAGTCTATTGTAAAGTTTGACACACCTGTTGGCCTCCAGTACGCTCAGCCTATTTATTTTGGCTATGGCCGCAATTATCAGCGTTATAAACTCCATGAAGAAGTTGCTGCGCAACAATTGACTGAAATATTTGGCAGCTGCAAGGCAGCATTCTCGTATGCGCTCGTGCAGATGATAGACGCTCTGCAGACGCACCAGAATGTACTCAAAGCTGCTGCGTGTCGGCATTTCACCGGCCAGCGCCGCATCACATACATCGGGCAAAGAGCCACGAAAATGTTGCAGCTCGCGGGGTAAATCCAGCCGAAGCAAGCGACAAAGCGCTGCGTTCAGCTTGCAAATGGCACGAAATCCAGGCAGGCCACGAAAAGAATTCTTGCGACGGGCCATAAGACGCGATATGAGCGCTGCAGTCTCTTCGAATTCCACGGCCATCGGTTCAGTCAACTGCTGCAGATATTTGTTAATGGCCATAAAGCATTTCTTGGCTTTAAACGGAAGTCGAAGCATTATTTTAGTATATGCAGTTAGTGTATGAATGTTTAGCTTACCAAAGGCTGTATTTGGCGCCCGGAGGGTAACCAACGGAGGTCTTTTTAATTCAAATTCATTCCAAACAGTCGCCATGCCTATGCGTATGTAATTCGTATCTGTAGATGAAGTCCTCCCACATGGCATACAAATTGGCAGCACTGCGCAGCGTTGCCATATCAGACAAACCTTTTGATTCTCCAAAACTTGAATGCCAGTTTCCCGTTTAATTGTCAATGTCTGTGGACACATTTAACAATGTCCAAAAAGTATTTTAAATTTGTTTTTTTTTTTAGCATTTTCATTCAGTATTCTATTTTATTTGACCCCCTGTTTATATGGTTGTTCCATAAACTTGCACGTATACTAAAGTATGTACATGTATGTAGATATGTTTATTTCCTCAACTTATGTTCACAAGTTTAATTGTATTTTTGTTTAGAACAGAATTAGGAAATTGTGACATTTTTCTTACTAATTATAATTTAAGTCCTTCTGGCATATATTTCGATTTCCCATTGCCAATTTTTAGTTCCATATGCATTGACGGTAAACAAAATGTGTTTTCTTCCAATGCCGCCGTTGGAAACGTAAGCATCACCCTTTCTAGAATTTTGATACGTTGTTATTCGAAGAAAGGTCACTTCGTCAATGTCGGGTGAAGGACACACCATTTGTACTTGAGGATTGCTAGGCATATGGAACACTACCTTTGGCGACGTTTCGTGGAACACAACCGAATCTCCTAAACAAATATTTGAATTAAAGCTTTAACAAATTTAAAACAAACTATTTGATGTTACCTGCTTTACGTGCACCAAGTTCATACTTGAGCTCAAAAGACTTGCCAGGCAATTCCCTAACTAGAGGTTTTAAAAGTACAGCTTCGGGATGATTGACATCAAATTCTTCTATCCCATTGCCATTTGCTTTTTCAATAACCTTAACATTTGGACTAATGCTAAGACCTTGAAGCAGTGCCACAAAACTTAGAAGCAACAATAATACCAACATTTTCCACGCGCTGTAAAGTTGTGCGATTGGAAATGAGCTTCTTTAAATATAAATACATATGAACATATATTACCGAGACACACCTTTGAAAACTCTAAAATGGGCTACGCTTTAATAGGCTTAAACATTAGTAAAGCACCGTAAACAAAAATGATATGACATAAGCAAATACATTTCCCAGAACGTGGCATTAGCTTTTATGCATTTATATATGTATATGTACCCGGCTGATCTTCAATGATTTACATAGTTTTCTAATTGAGTTTCTATAAATTTCTTTCCTGCTTTTTATTATATGGAACATGCGTGTTCAAAAGAATTTAAGTCAGTAATGTTGTTTATAATTTGTCAATGGTTTGATTTCTCGAAATTAAAATGATGGGGTCTTAAGTGTTTTGTTCCATAACTTTTTAAGTATAATATACAAAAATATGTTTTAAAAAACTGCTCAAGATATTAAAAAAAAATTGTATGCTTATTTTACTTTTTTTGTATTATCAGAAAAGTTGTAAATGTTTTTTTACAGATATGCCAAATAACAGCTTATAATTTTTGACTAGTGAATAAAATATATGCGTATATACACGTACATAGTCTATGGTATTTGAAATGACGTGGATGTTTTAAAAATATATGTTGAGCGTTGTAAATGATCGACATTTCAGAAAACCAAATCAAATTCATAAGCATAATTGCTTGAATGGGTACAACGATAAAGAATAAGTTTACCACGGATTGCTTCAGTATACTTCTGAAATCATCTCATTTATCCCACACAAAACTAATATTGTAGCTCTTTAAACGTAATAAGCGTTTATTAAAAATGCAATTGACTGTTGGACAGACGCTATATATATAAAAATATAAGCAGCTATTAAAATGCCCTGACGGCATATATCTTAATGGTATACTGGAAGTGCATAGTATTATAGGCGTTTATATCGACACGCAGCGCATTTAGACCAATACCACCTTCTGTTATCCTTGCATCGCCAGTTACAGAGCTTTGAATCGCTATAATTTCAGCACGATTTATGGTATGATAGCGGTCTTGGACGGTTTTACCCCAAGCACTGACACTACTCGGATAGTTGTAATCGAGCCGGGTGGAGGTATGATCGTAAGCTAATATTTCACCTATCGTAGAGCGAATAAATACATAATGTTGTAAAGTTAGGATTTTAAGGTTCGCCTAGTCTTACCAGGTCTTGGGGATCCAAATGTATAAGTCAGTTGATATTGCTTGCCGAATGAACTGTTCAAGAGTCGAACTTTAGGCGGAATAGCAGAAATTTCGATCACTGCGAATAAACTTAGTAGTAATAGTACCTTCAGCAACATGGTTAAATGACTTTTAACTGAGAAAAAGCCCGAGCGACACTTTTAAAGGCCATAGTTACGAAACATCTTAATTCGCGTAATGAACCATTAAATAAACTGATCTGCGAATAAGGCAACAAATGTCAAAGCTTAAAATAAATCAATCGCCAATCTATATATATATATATACATATATTATAGCTACTAGAATAGGGAATGAACTAAGCCTTCCATTTCAGACTTCGAAGTGTAAAAGAAATTCACATACAGGAAGGTGCACTAAATATAAGAAAGATGATAAGATAAACATAAATTCACAGTTGCTAATTGATCATTTTTTTTTCTCACTTTATTAATGTTTTCATCAGTTTTCGATGTCGACAGCCTGCCACTACGTTAGGCATCTTCGACGGACCCACGATCTCATCTGAAACTTTCATACCACTCATAAGCGGATGTTCTCTTTATAGTATTATTGCCGAAACAGTTTCCTAACATTTCTTAGGTTTTCGCATTGATTTTCTTCGAACATAGTATAGTTTATGGTATGTGGATGTTCTAAAGGAACAGGTTGATCCTTGCAAATGATCAACACATCATAAAACTAAATCCAATTCATAAACATAATCGTTTGAATGAGTACAACGCAACAATCCCATTTTGCCCATACAAAACCATTATCGTAATAAGCGTTTATTAAAATTGCATTTGCCTATTGGACAGACCGTATTTATATCAAAATATAAGCAACAATTAATGTGCCCTGACGGCATATACCTTTAGGTTAAACTGGAAGTGCATGGTATTGTAGGCATTCACAACGACATGCAAAAAACTTTGACCAATATCACCTTGTGTTATCCTTGCATCTCCACTTACAGTGCTTTGAATCGATATCACTTCAGCACGATTTATTATATAACGGCTGTCTTGGATTGTTTTACTAAAACCAACGACATTGGTCGGATAGTTGTAATCGACCCGTTTGGAGAAACGATTGTGGACTAGTATTTCATCTATCGTAGAGTGAATAATTGCAAATGTTGTAATTTTAGGATTTTCAGGGTCACCTTGTCCTACCTGGTCTTGGGGATCCAAATGAATAAGTAAGTTCAAACCTATTCTGTGGCTTGCCATAGAAACTGGTCAAGAGTCGAACTCTAGGCAAAATAGCAGGAATTTCGATCACTGCGAACAAACTTAGTAATAATAGTACCTTCAGCGACATGCTTATATGACTTTTAACAGAAAAAAGCCACAGCGACACTTTTAAAGGCCATAGTTACGAAACATCTTAATAGTCATAATGAGCCATTAAAAAACTGATCTGTGAACAAGGGACCAAATATCAAATAAATAAATCGCACACCGATATACACATACATATATACCTGTATTATACCGACTCGAATAGGCAATAAGTTCAGACATCAAAGTGTAAAAGAAATTCACATACAGGAAGGTGCACTAAATATAAGTAGCCTTTAATAGTGATAACATAAATTCACAGTTGTTTTTCGAAAATGCTCTTAAATTCCACCAGTATGGCGTAGTCGCAAAAAGTTGGGGTAGTTACAAAACGTATAATGCTGAAAATTTTAAATTAAGGTGCTTAGTCCATCCAGGAAATCGTTCGTTTTTAAATCACATCACAATCAATTGAAAATCTTAAATAACACTGATGCGATATTGCTTTTTAAATTTATTTTTCTATGATTGTAAGCCAAAACATCTAAGATGTGAGATCACAAGCCCGACAGTTTAATACCCTGTACCCAGGTAAACTTCCGTCACTGAGTTATATGCGCCCATAGCAGCAGCAAAAAGAGGAAGAAGAAGAGCGAACTTGTTGCAGTTTGTGGGGGTTGTACTGGCGAGAATTTGTTTCGCTAATAACTTTTCTTAGAATTGACCGAATTGAATAAAAATACAACAGTAGAAAATTATATATAAATTATGTGTGCAAAGTTTGGTTTAGGTAGCATTTGAAATGTGGACGCTATTGACGAAATTCTGCAGCGGGGGAAGGGGGGAAAAATTAAAAAAAATAATTAATAAACTCGTCCTTACTCGGACCTAGGAGAATCTGGATGCCAACTTTGGTTATTCTAGCTTTTATAGTTTCTGAGATCCTCGCGTTCATCCAGACGGACGGACAGACAGACGGACATGTCTAGATCGATTTCTCTCGTCATGCTGATCAAGAATATATATACTTTATGGGGTCGGAGATGCTTCCTTCTGTATGTTACATACTTTGCACAAACCTAATATACCCTTTTTACCCTACGGGTACAGGGTATAATAAAACCTATCAGTATACAACACAATATGCCTCTATTATCCAAATAAGTAATAATAACAGCCCAAGCGTTTTTTCTTACGATCCCAATCAGTGCTCTTTTAAAGTGTATTTAACATTCAGATTTTCAACTACATAGACATTTTATGTTATATTTTCAGTTAAACAAGTGGTCACTAACAGAGGCAACCATATAACATAACAGACTCAATAGAAATATTATCTGTACTTATATTACTTAAGGGAAAATTAAAGGTCGCGCAAGAATTTGGATGCTACTATTGATCAAGATTAGTTTAATATTAATATTAAATAATTCTACTTATAATAATTTCACAATAATATATGTACGCCTCTGTTATTCAAGTAGCAATAACAGCTGCTCTTTTCTAGCGATCTCAATAACAGTACCTTTAACATTGCAATGTTTATTTGACATTGCCATTTTTAATTCTCAGACATTAAACATTAGCAATTAAATGCCAGCATTAGCCGCAATATGTACGGCAGACTATTATATACAGTGGCGAAAGTACTAAATACATTAGCTAATTTTAGGCTGTTTTTTGGCTTCACCTGTTTAAACGATATGTCAATTAAAGTTATTGGAAATATTTTGGAACATCTGTTCAAAAGTTTTAAGCAATTATAGTTTGTAGGTTTGTTTTACTTGAATTCATTTAAAATAAAGGCACCTTTGTTGTGGGACTTTTACGGTATAACCAGGGAAGCATCCCAAGCTAATACTATAATCAACCACAATGTACCTACCTCTTTGAAAAGGTCTCTGGACAACCCTTTTTCCGACTATAACTTTCATTAGCCTTCGATCTATGATTATTATATGTGTAATTTGTAAAAATACTTTTATACACAAACACGTATAAAAAATTTTTCTGCATTTTTATTCACATGTAAAAAATGGCAGCTCATTTACCAAAGTGTACCGTAGACCTTAATGTGGTAAAACCAGAGTTTAGTCTGAGAGGCGCTTATAGAGACCTCAATTTGACGAACGCCAGGACCACCACGAGTAATCACAAGCTCGCCAGTTTTTGAATCCTGTATTGATACAACATCAACAGCTGACACCCTAAAACCATCGCCTGTGTCAGGATAACCAACGGCAATTTGAGGATTGTGTTTTGATCCAAACAAGAACACTGCAGACTTTTTTTCAAATGCCAAAAATTCGCCTAAATTTGTGTAAGTGGCTGTTAGATGCTTTATAAAAATCTAATATATTACCAAACTTGTGCGCCCCAATAATATACTTAAGCTCGTAGGTTGTAAGCGCTTTATCGATTGGTGGAGGTATCTCAGTAATATTAGGTGACAGTTTTGTGCTATTTTTTTTATCGTCTTTTGCTGCTGCCACCTGATGTGGCATTATCGCCAAAAAACAGAGAAAAATAAGGATTTTCCACAACATGTTGGGTTTCTCTTTAAACTGAAGCACGACTTGGAGCGAACATCTTATACTGGTTAGCTATCACGCTTTAAAACGAATTCAAACACTTTAAAAAGATTTCACACGCATCAGAATACCAAAAATGATGTAAGTGAGGATAACCATTCTGTAAATGTCAGTTGGTCCAAATTAAAACGAACTCAAATTCGACCATGGCTGTCTTGAATACTATTAGACTATGAAGATGATCATGTTAGCTTTATTTGTTCGATAATATATCGAGGCGTTTCTATTTCTGTATGATAAGGTTTCCTGTCGCCTACGATTCCAGATACTTTGGAATTTTCGCATTAAAATCAATTTGTTTCAATTTTTCATTTTACTTAGAAAGATTGGTAAGAAAAATTCAAGAAGAATGTAAAATAAAATTCAAATTAGATGGAAATACTTTTATAAATGATATTGACACAGCAAATTATAATTAAAATAATTATTTAAGCTGAATTTGCAGTCTCTTTTAAAATATTTTCCCAAAGACTTTAATGTTGTACGTCCAGAAGTAAGTATTGAAGGCACGTAAAGTAAACTCTACATTCCTAAAGCCAGGACCTCCACGCGTAACTACAAGTGTACCAACGTTTGTGGTTTGTGTTGCAATAATTTCCACAGCTGTGATCTTAAGACCTTCCCCTGATGTAGGATATTTTTGAACAATTTCTGGACTATATTTATCTCCATACCACAAAACTCCGGACTTTCGCTCAAACGCCAATATTTCACCTACAAAATGATTTAAGATTTTATATTTTGGTCTGAGAGTAGACTCTTAAATATTACCAAACTGGTGGTCTCCAACCACATATTTAAGCTCGTAAGTTGGAGGAGCATCTTCGTTAGCCGGAGGGAGCATCATAGCTTGCGGGAGCAAATTAGTCAGCCTGTTGGAGTTTCTTTTCGGGTTTTGACCTTTTTTATTTGTTGTCTGGACATCATCTTTGTTAGGTACTTGACTTTCTATCGCTATCGCCAAACAACAGAGAACAATTAATGCTTTCCACCACATGTTAAGTTCGTCTAAACACTGAACCATTAGCTGGTTAGAACACCTTATATTGGTTGGTTATGAATCGCTTTAAAACAAATTTGAACGCATCAGGAAAAAAAAATGTATACATGAGCAGAAAAAAATTCTGTAAATGCCAGTTCATCCAAATTAAAATGAACTCAAATTCTGCCATGGTTCTATTTTATTTAATTTAATCGAGAAATAAGTGTATATGTTCCGTTTCTATTTCCATGGCTCTAGATGTGGATGCCCTTTCTCGCATTTGGCAAAGCCGCGACTCCCTTAATTAGAGAGTTTCGTCTAATTTACATTTCCCTGTAAGCGGAACCTGCCTTTCGATTCGTCCCTGAATTGACAATTAAACAATTCCTTAGTACATTAAATTGACCAGACTCTTAAGGTTTAGCCAACTTTTGCAATGTAAGGTAGTGTCCACATCATTTTAATCACCGCGAACTATTAATGGATAGTGTGCCCAATATTAATGGAATAATAATCTTGATATCGAAGTGATAGTGTTCGAACAAACACGACTATGTTTTATATATAGTGATATAAGATATATTTATGAATGAAACACTGACAAATAGATGAGAAAGTGACTGCCAACAAATGAAAAAGAGCAGAAAAAAACCAGAACACGATGTATTTTTTAAATGATGTGGTATTATCATTGCACATTATAATAAAAATTATAAATTAAGTTGCATTTTGAGTCATAGTAGACTCTATTAAAATAATTTTCCATAGACTTTAATGTTGTACGTCCAGAAGAGAGTATTCGTGGCACGTAAAGTAACCGTCACATTCCTAAACCCAGGACCTCCACGCGTAAGTTCAAGTGATCCAGCAGTTGTGGTTTGTATTGCAGTAATATCCACAGCTGTGACCTTAAGACCCTCCCCTGATGAAGGATATCTTTCGATAATTTCAGCATCACTTTTGTTAGTTCCAAACCACACAACTCCGGAATATCGTTCAAACGCCAATATTTCACCTACAAAATGATTTAAAATTTTATATTTTGATTATTGCTGAAAGTATACACTTAAATATTACCAAACTGGTGGTCGCCAATCGCATATTTAAGCTTGTAAGTTGGATCCGCATTTTCAATAGCCTTTGGTAACTTTTCCGCATTCGGAACAGTCACCCTGGTAGAGGTTTTTTTCGGTTTTTTAACTTTTTTTGGTTGTGCCGGGATATCATCTTCATCAGATATTTGACTCTCTATCACTATCACCAAACAACACAGAAGAATTAATGCCTTCCACAACATGTTTGGTTCGTCTTTAAACTGAAACATTATCTGGTTATAACACCTTATATTGGTTGGTTATAAATCGCTTTAAAAGAAATTTGAACACTTTAATAAAATTATATAAGTAAAGAAAAAAATTTTGTGTTAGTTCATCCAAATTAGAACGAATTAATTAAGCTGAATCTGCAGTCATTGTAGAATCTATTTAAATATTTTCCCATAGACTTTAAAGTGGTACGTCCAGAAAAAAGTATTGTGGGCTCGTAAAAAAACCTCCACATTCCTAAATCCAGGACCTCCATGGGTAATATCAAGTAATGCCATGGGTGTGGTTTGTGTTGCAATAACTTCCACAGCTGTGATCTTTCGACCTTCCCCTGATGAAGGATATCGTAGTGTAATTTCAGGACCATATATACGCCCAAACCACAAAACTTCGGACTTTTGTTCAAACGCCAAAATTTCACCTACAAAATATTTTAAAATTTAATATCTTGATTGTTGCTAAAGTAGACATTAAAATATTACCAATCTGGTGTTCTCCAACCACAAATTTAACCTCGAAAGTGGTATACGCATTTTTCATAGGTGGAGGGATCGTCGTAATTTGCGGGAGCATACCTGTCCAAGAAGAGATTTTGGTCGGTTTTTTAACTTGTTCTGGTTGTGCGGAAATATCATCTTCGTCAGATATTTGACTCTCTATCACTATCGTCAAAGTGCAGAGAACAATTAATGCTTTCCACCACATGTTAAATTCGTCTTTGAACTTAAACATTAGCTGGTTGGTTATGAATTGCTTTAAAACAAATTTCAACACTTTAAAGATATTGCTAACGCTTCAAAGAAAATTTAATTATATAAGCGAAGCCAATCGAGCAGCATATGTCAGTTTGAATCAATGTATGTAAAAGCATTCTTTCTGGATTATAATTTTCGATTATCTTCGATTGCGCAGGCCCGGTGTTCTTTTCAGTATGACGTCACAAAAAGTTATATCTTTTAGAGTTTTCACATATATTTTAGCTCGTAGTTAAATTTCAACCATTTCTATAAACTAGTTGACCAAGTAAGCAGACGTCCGATGGATTATCATTGCATCTTGTATAAGAATGACTTTGTTCTTTAAGGCGCATACAATTTGTTCTTTTATTACTCATGCATTTACCACCTTAGCAACTTTAAATATAATGGTGATTGTCTTCGTATTCGCGGTAGTGTAATTGTTTGGGTGACATTAACTTCCCAAATTGAAAATAAAACATAAGAACATAAAAATCTCTGTGGAATCACACACAAAGTCATCATCGGCTGTTGCTACCTTTGTCTACCTTTTTATACTAAGTATTTAGCTTCGATTTATAAATTTAATTGAAGAATCGTTGCATCTGTAATGGTATAGGAATCACGTAAATTACAGACTAAGTTGTTTTTTTTTAATCAGTTTAACTCCAATTTGCCGCTATTGTTGTCATAAAGCAGTGGCTGGCTACCAGAGTGTTCCATAAACCTTGATATGATAAGTCCAGACACGAGTCTTGGAGGCACGTAAAGTGAACTCAACGTGGCGGAAGCCGGGACCACCACCAGTAATCGTAAAATCTCCAGTTTTTGAATCTTGGGTTACTTCTACATCCACAATAGACACTTTAAGACCATCGCCTTTTAGGGGATATCCTGCGATAAATTGAGGACTAAATGGAGATCCAAAATATAATATTTCGGATTTTTTTTCATACACCAAAAATTCACCTAATCATGGGCGAATGTGTATTAATAGGCACTAACATTTCTTGATTGTGTGTATGTATATTACCAAACTTGTGCTCTCCAACGAAATATTTGAGCTCGTAGGTTTCAGATGCTTTTTCCATAGCCGGAGGGATAGTGTTTACTTGAGGTAATACCTTTATCGTGTCGGTGCAATTTTTGGCATCTTTTCTTAGTGATGACATGGAATGATCTTCGTCATCCATTTGTCCTTGAACTACTGCTAAATAATAGAGAACAAATAATATCTTCCACAACATATTATAGACAATTTTAAACTGATGCTTAGCTGGTAACAAAAAATATATATTGGCCGACTAAATGCTTTAAAATGATTACCAACGCTTCAAAAGAGAGAATAGTATATAAGTGACACGAATCAATCAGAAAATAGTATTAATAAAAATATATATGTATACATATAAATCTTTTCTCTATAAATTATCTTTTACCATAATTTCTAACTTTGATTAAAATAACCTTTGCAAATTCTGTTATTTTCGTCCACACTTGTTACGCTTTTTAGTTTTATATGAATTTTCATATAATTCTCATACGCTTTTTTGTATGGTTGATTTCATTCAATTTAAGATTTTTCTAAAAAAAATTAAATTACAGAGGCAAACAAAAAACTTTTCGGCTACAATTTTAATTTTGCTTTAAAAATGTTTTCATAAATTACACAAAATTATTATATATTCACTACTCAATTGGAAATCAAACAAACTTTCTTTGTTGGGACATCAAACCTCTTTGAAAGCTAAAAGACTTAACTTTCAAATTTAGCAAAAACATATTTCAAAATGACATTGTTATAAATCATTGATATAGGAGGTGGATTTCAAAAGCTTTTATTTGGCGGCACAACACTTCACCACGAAGTTGGCTGCACTACGCCGGTGGGAACGCGCAGTCTGGCAACGCCATTGCAAGCATATGGTTTTCAGCTAAACCATCCAGTTTTAGTTTCACTTTACTGTTGCGTGTGCATTAACGTGTGTTTTTGGCCTTTAATTTAACAAATTATATTGCAAATATTTAATAATCAAAAAACGCGCGCTTGTGTACATTTATGTGTGTGTGTGTGTGTGTGTACACAATTGATAAGATAGTCACAATAAGCAGAAGTAGATTGCAGAAAATGCTCGTCATGAACACTATTAGAAATTCGGCTTTGCGCTCTGGCTGGTTGCTCAACAGTTTAAGAAAGCAATCTCCAAGCATCACGACGCGTACTTTCTCGCTAGGCCTAAGGCTTGGGCAGCAGCAAGATACGTAAGTGCCACACCTTGACCTTTGTTTGCTTAAGATATAGATATGTGGCATAACTAATCCATTTGGTTGCTTCCACTTTAAAGCGTGAACGTGACCTTTGTCAGAGCCAATGGCCAGAAAATTAAAGCCACTGGCAAAGTGGGCGACTCCCTGCTCGATGTGGTCGTTAACAGCAATGTTGACCTTGACGGATTTGGCGCGTGCGAGGGCACCCTGACGTGCTCCACGTGCCATCTAATCTTCAAAACAAACGACTACGAAAAGCTGCCCGACAAGCCGGGTGATGAGGAGCTGGACATGCTGGATTTGGCATACGAATTAACGGATACGTCGCGCCTCGGCTGCCAAATAACCCTTACCAAAGATATGGACGGTCTGGAGGTGCAGGTGCCAACCACAATAAACGATGCTCGAGCAGCGTAGTTGCTGTTGGCTGAGACCGCTTTTTGAGCTCTATGTTATTAGTATATTAGTTAATGGATGAACAATTTTACAAAACAAACTGTTTGTATCGCAAACTCAGGCTCTCGTTAATTATGTTTGTAATTAATTAATTTGTCTGTAGGCCAGTGTAGAACTTTTTAAGCTCAAAGGGAGGAACGATGTGTTCGTAAATAAAATTTACAATTTATTTTCGTAAGTGCCAACGCAAATATTTTATTTACCTAAAGGATTTCGCCGCTCAAAGGATATATAAAAAAAATCCAAAACGCAAAGTGCTTAATAAAAGTAAACTTTTTATTATTTCGCAGCTATCAAATAAAGTAATAAATAAATAATTTAATATATACATGTCGCTATATTAACTTATTTTAAACGATTTTGTTGCTTTTCCGTTGCCGCTTTGCCTGTGTTGTTATTATTATTTTTAACATTTTTAACTCGTAATTTAGATAGCTTTATTATTTATTATAACTGAAACTTAACAAGTCTGAGAGAAATTACACCGCAATTTCGTTTAATTCGTTATCGACCAACTTTTTTTTTATTATTTTTTTTTAATTTAATTTTTTATAACTATAAAGAAATAGATAATGCCCCAAATATCTTTGTCGTTGCAGAGCAAGCGAGTGAAGAAAATCATAAATAATAAATAGATTGGCAGATGAGAATAGTAGTAGTAGTATGTGGAGGGGTGTAAGTGGGGGGTGTTGACAGCATAAATAAATAAATAGTGCGGAGGATGATGGATGGATGGAAGTGCACATAAAACTGATTTGGTTTTCTGTTCACGCCGTGTTGTTATTGGACTCAATTGTGATACGCCATACCCGCCCCCTTGCGATCGAAGTGGCGGACGCGGACAAAGAGGAAGGCGGCGACTAGAGAGGCTACAGCCAAGACGAGCAGCAGCATCACCAAACCGCCCACAAAGCTCGGCACCGACATACAAATGGTCTCAGCGTCGGCAGAGCGCGCCGATTGAATGACAACAGTCTCATTACTGGCATTGCTGTTCAACGCAAAGTTGACATCGCCGGGAGCCACCACCTGAATGGTACGACTCGTATTCACATCGGTCATCTCCTGGGCATTTCGCTTGTAGATGCGCTGTGGCTTTACCACAATATCGATGGTGTCGCGACGTCGGCGCACACCGCGCAGATCGTCCAAACCCTCAACCGAGCGTGGACGGCCTCCCAATGAGACGAGATTGCCGCCCGCACTGAGATCATCCTTACGCTTCACAGTGCTGTACTGGCCAGGCTGGCCGGGCAGTGGTGGTGGCGGCAGACCCAATTCGTTGCTCGACACTTGTGGAGGAGACTGCGAGCTGGCCGGACCGGAGGCAGCACCCGACTCGGCAGTAGTCACCGCTGAGGTTTGCGCTTGCGGTGAGGGCACAACATCGGGTTGGTTCTCGGAGTAGGCGCCCGTAGCATCGGAGGCGGGATGACGCGGATCTGGATATGCTGCCGGTGGCAAACCGCCCAGCGCAAAGTCGTTGCGTTCGTAAGCCTCTGGTGGGCCATATTCCTCGGAGAGCGCATTTCCACCAATCTGGGGCAAACCATACTCGCCGCCGGGCAGGCCTGGACCGCACTTGGGTTCGGGACAGTTATAGCGGCAGACCTGAATGACGCACTGGAAGTGCACGTTCATCGAGTCGGGGAACTTAAAGGCCTGGAAATATGCGAAGCTAACCACCGATGCGGACGGTCCAAAGTTCTTGATCTTCTGGAACTTGCTCATGATCTTCGGTCGGACAACACAGCCATTTTGATCCACCAGCTGAATTGGAGCACGCTTGCCATCGTGGGCCACACAATTACGTACCAACATATCGAACTTATTCTCATCATCCTTAATGGCCAGCACCATCGTCATTGTCTGTCCGATCTTCACAATACCTGAGACCTCAGATGCCCACGGACCCTTGCCCACTTGAATTTGCATCCAACACTGCAGATTGTCGCCCAAGAAGTTAGCCGTAACCGCATGCAGCATATCCACCTGGAAGGGTCTGAAGGTGACGGCCTTCTCATAGAAATCGTACCAAGTGCAGCGCAATTTACGGGCCTGATCCCACACCTCCTGCACATAGGGATCATACTGAATGATAATTGTGTTCTCCACATAGCTGCCCGATGGTGTGGGCGCTCCATAGCCGGCAGCATTGTGATTTGCTGAGCTGGTCATGCCGCAGCTATTCAAGAAGATCTCGAATGTGGCGCTCAGATGACCAGTGCCCGGTTTCAGATGTACACAGTGGGGATCGCTGTAGAAACCCTTCGAGAAGATCATGCCGTAGAAGGGTCTGTCGAACTCAATGTTCACCCGCATGTGCGTCTTCTCGCACTGCACCTGCAGATGTTTGATCTGTGGGCTGTCGTTCGTTGTCGCCAGCGGCCAGGCCTCCTCGGACAGATCATTTGTGGCTCCGGTACTCAGCGGACCCTGCGGCGCACCGTAAATGGGTGAGGGCGCAGGAGGTCCATAACCAGATCTGTGTTCCAGTGGCAAGGCCGCGGATTCAATGTGTGAGGCATCGCCGTGCACAGCCAGATGCTGCAATAAAGTTAAAACGAGAGTCTTGTTAGTGGGGTTATTTTTAATGTGTGCTAGATATACCTTAAACAAGAAATGTTTCGCTTTTGAAACTAAGAATATGCCTATAACATATTTATTTTATCAATCTTCTGCAGCAATAAATGGTTTCACAGGAGAAATGTCATTGCAAGAGCTATAATATAATAATTTAAAGAGACAGAGAGAATAGTAATCGACTATATTTTCTTAAATACTTGTCTTCCAATTAGGAGGAACGAAAAACCTTTGTGGACAGACAGTTTCTTGTTAACTAGGATTGTCACTCTTCATGCTTTATATTCTGATACCTGCGGAAGATGGTCTCATTAATTGATATAGAAGAATCAACTCACATTGTTTGTAGAGCATTTAAGATCATATTTTCGCATTGCAATAATATTTTGAATTCAAATGGGGAATCATAGTCCAAATTGCTGATGCAAATGTCAGATTTTATGCCTCAGCTAACAAAATTGCGGAAACTTTTGGTACTTTTGATGATGGTTTTGGCTATAGTACCATGTATAGGATTACGACTGTTTAGTTCAGTTATGTAACGCAGATCGACGGCACGTTTTGAAAGAAAAACGTCACGAAGCGTTGAAAATTGCACGCATATTGTGAAATTAAATGGCTGTCAGAGCGTGTGGCTTACAAAAAACTTAAATAAAATAAATAAATAAAAATTTGAAGCATGGCAGCCCATTGCATAAGCCCCTCAGGAGGGCCGCGCTTTCTTTTTGGCTCCCTCTCGTTTCCACTCTTTGCTCGTTTAACATTTGGTTCATAATTTTTATGGTTTTTTTTATACTCTGTACATGAAATGTACAAGAGTATATTAGGTTTGCGGGAGCTGAAAAATGTAACAGGCAGAAGGAGGCGTGGCAGACCCCACAAAGTATATATATTCTTGATCAGCATGACGAGACGAGTCGATCTAGCCCTGTCTGTCTGTCTGTCCGTCTGTCCGTCTGTCCGTCTGTCCGTCCGTATGAACACCTGGATCTCAGAGACTATAAGAGATAGAGACACCAAATTTTGCACGAAGATGCGTTATGTGTGTATTCTATACGAGTTTGTTTTATTTTTTTGATTTTCCCCCCCACTTCCCCCCTATGGGGGTTTTCCCGATTTTCCATTCGTATAATCGCCTATATCTCGGAGACTATAAGACCTAGGAACACCAAATTTTAGTCCCAGATGCCTTATGTGAATACGCAGAAAATGTATATTTTGGAATTCCCCTCCCTCCCCCCTCTACCCCGCAAATCGTAACTCCCGTAATTCTTGGAATTTCGAACTAAAATTTTGGAAATACCCCCAGTTAGTTATTATGTGTCCGTATGCCAAATTTCATTATGATAGACCGATTTAACAAGAAGTTATAGCCATAAATATATTTGCTGATGCAGCGCTGCTGCAGCGCTGCTCAAGCGCTGCCCGCGGCTGTTGTTGATGTTGCTGTTTGGTTGACTGCGAAAATGCTTACACAGACACGAATTGATGCGCATAGGCATACATACACTCACACAGACGCAATTGCTATGTAAATGTGCAATTATACACCCTTTACGTGAGTTCGAATACCGAGAGAGGTAAAATCGATCAAATTTTATTTTTTTTTTTTCTTAATTTTTTTTATTTTCTATAATTATTGTAAACATATGTACAGAGTATTTCAAAGTCGGGACACCCGACTTTAGCTTTTTTACTTGTTTTCTTTCTTCTTTCTTGTTTTCCATTTAATTTTGGCTGCGTACGGGAAGCGGATGTAAGCAGCTGTATCTGACTTGCTAACATCTTGGTCGCCAAAAAACAATAACAAAATATATACTCGTATAAAAAAAGATAACCCAAGTAAAATCGAAAGTTTCAGACTGTGATGACGTTGCTAGTTCGTTTTGTTTTTTGGGTTCATTGTTGTGTGTGGCTTGATTTTGAAAGTGAAATGAGCAGAGCACAGATACAGATACAAATGAAGTCGAAATAAAAAACAAACACAGTGTTGGTTCTGCGGCCACATCCATATCGATGGCTTTGTGTCAACTTTGGGTATAATATTGTTTTCTTACGCTAACATTTCACTCGCCTGGTGGCTCGTTGGCTGCAGAAAACTGGCAATAAATAAATAATAAAAGCAATCTCTATGAATTAATGCGCCATAAACAAGAAAGTCCAACTCCAAACTGGTACAAATCAGAGCATAACTGCAATTTCGCTCCAACAGCAGCAACAGAAACAACTGCAACAACAGTAGCATTGAGATCAACACGCAGCTGCAATTGGCCAACAGCTTGGCTTGAATTTCTTAGACGTCTTATTGAACTAATAGCCATGACTGCTGGCTACGCGTTGCCAGCAACTTTTGCGTGTCTGTTTCCATTTTTTATATTTTTGCTTTACAGCATTGCTAACAGTAGGTCCCTCCCGTCCCCTCCCTAGCTTCTAGTGGCAGCATTGTGATTGATGTGTTTTGGATGAATGTATAAATAACAAAATAATGCCGATTTATGCGAATAAAGCTTATCAATCGAAAGCGGCTGCTAACAAAAATACTGGCAATAATATTGAGACTCTGATGGATATTGTTTTATTTGAAAGGGGATTGTAAAGCTAACAAATTAAAGTTTAAAAAATATACATTGAAGCATATGTACATATATAACAAAGTATGAAAAGATTTGATATCTTTTAAATTTTTTATACGGAACAATTTTATTTAATGTTGCTAAATTATTAAGGTTTGTGGTACAAATAAAGGATTTTGATTTAAAATACTTTTTTCATATAAATTTTAATTTTGAAAAATAAAATTGGTTAATCTATTTTGAAAATTAAATAATTTTTAAATTTAAATTAAATTTTTAATTTGTGAAAACATTTTGAGCATGCTTGAAATATTATATGTAGTTTGTTATCTTATTTTTCTACTTTTTAAGCTTCTGAAGATTGATATTTGTATTAAAAATAGTTGAAAATTTGGTTTTGAATTAAGCTGAAGAGCAGGAATAAATTAATTGGGTCATTATGTTTTCTTAAATCCACAATTGGTTCCTTTTAATTTGTTCTTTTGGAAGTTTTGGGAAACATTTTACTCTAAGTAAACACAAAAGAATGCACAACTAACAAATACTCTTGTTAGGTACGAAATCTTGTAGGTTACTGGGTCAAATACCATTATGATTATTTTACATATAATATACATGTGTATAAATAATTATGCATTTTGGTCATTTCGGTCAGCACTTAGAGTGCAGTTGAGAAAGCCTTTGCCTGCTCTGCATAATTACGGCTTGTACTGCGAAACAAACGCCTTAAAGGCTCTGTTAATACGAAGTCTGTAAACTGCTGCTGTTAAGTCTCCGGCTAATTACAATAATTAGCAATGTCCCGTTTACAACTATGCGCTCTTCTTGCAATTTCCATTGCATTCTATTCGCTCAAAGCCGAGAATAACATAAGAGAGAGAGACCGACTGACAGACAGACAGACATGACAGCTTCAGTCCAAGGCTGGCTCGCTTTTTTCTTAATGTCAGCAATACCGCTAGAGCATATCATCAACAGCAATAGAAGCCAGCCAGTCAGTCACTCAATCTGTCAGTCAGTCAAGCGAACAATATAGCAATCAATATACATACTATATGTGAGAATGATTTGCATTCGAATTGATATTGATAAACGGTAGTGCGCCGCCGCTATAGTCGAAAGTGAACAGATCCGCTATAGGTTTGCATATGAAATGAACTCGTTGCTGGCTTAGCTGTTGCTGTTGTTGTTGTTGGCTCTCTGTTAAGTGGGACACAGCTAACTGTACAGCATTCGGCGCTTCCTAATTGAAATCATGCACAAATACAATCGCACAAGTATGTATATATGGAGATATGTATGTATACATACACGTAAATACATCTTTACATATTGATTGCCAAAGCTCGACGCTTTTATTGATCAGACAAATCTGCATATACATACATACATACATACTTATTCGATTTCGAGTTCGAGGCTTGTAAAAATTTGTACAACACTTTCCTCCATAGATTTATGTAGTTGTTGTTGTTTTTTTTTGTAAATTTATTTGGGGTCTTACCTTTGTGTTGAATATCAAGCATAGCACTAACGCCAATAGGCTGCCTTGTCGCGTAAAGTGTCCCATTTTTTATGGCGCTATATAGGATAGAGCTATAATATGCCTCTGTTTGTGTATTTATGTTTGCGTTGAAATTGAAATTCCAATTTGGCGCAGAAGCCACCAAATAGTTATTGCTGCTGCTGCCCTCCTCTGCGCTCCTCAGCCGTCGTTTGTTTCTGTTTATTGTTTGTATTATTTGTCTTCGCTGACTTGTTCTTGTAAATCTTTGTGTGTCTGCAAGTGGAAGAAAAGAAAGGAGAACAAGGGTAAACAATGCACAGCATATTTTTCTTTTTTCGTTTTGAGTTTCGCATAAATATTTGAGGCCAATTTGCATGCGACTCAGCAACACAGTCATAGAGTTGAGAGACCAACCAGCAAAGGCCACAATGTGGCAGCAAGTGGATGGAATCGACAGGAGGAGCTTGACGCTTGCTTAATAAGTTATAGAATTTGCTTCGGTGCATAATAATAGTAATAATAAGAATGGAAGTGAGCTTAAATTATGCAACTGATCAATGAATAATGCCGTGACCCTGATACTTTTTAATTTTTTATTTATGCATAATGTGCCTTTTTTTTACTGCTATGTAAAAATATATGTCATTTAAATATGACGTTGATTAAAATTCGTTCAAAATAATTCATATGCTTTTTATGCTTTAAAAGAAGTTGTAGATATACTTCGTTAAAATACATGTTGTTAAAATATAGCGTTGAATAAAGTTCTTTCGCAATAATACAGAATTTTTAATTCTGTAAAAGAAGCAGTTATTTTTCAAGCTATACCTAAAAGCCAATTTTGCGTGAAATTTCCCAATGTCGAATAATTATGGAACGAAATGATGATTCTCTCAGGTTATATTTGTTCTCAGTGTAATCTCATTTGGCTCTCTCAGATATTACAAAATATAAATAACATAATATAAAAATATACTTTTTAATCAATGCGTGACTTTTTAACTAACTAATGTTTGATTAAAAGAATATTTCGTTCCTTAGTTATTGAGTCTAAATTAATCAAAAATAGCTTTGCATTGAAAAATCTTAAATAATCTGAAATCCTAAAGAACTAACATTTTTTGATTGTAACTGGCTCCAAAATCAATGCTAAACACTGCTTTGGAAATTAAATTTTGTAAATAAGAAAATATTGTAAGACGAATTTCTAAAATCTATGCATTCATATTATATCCAAGTGACTGTTATTTCACACTTTTTTTTTATCAACTTCTGAAACTTTATACATAGTTATATATATTCGGTTTATATTTTCAGCCACAGTTTTTCATATTGCACATTTTCCATTTCCACAGTCTTTTCTGTATTCGCTGCTCACAAACAATAGCAAGTTTATCACAAATCAGTTAAACTAATCAGTCCATATGAGGCATTGCAATAATATAACTTATGAACCTGTTTGCTTTATTCGACTATGTTTTCATAATTTATCGAAAAAGGAGAGTTTTCGATGTGCACCTTAAAAAAGCTTTTTTTTACTGTCGTGTTGCGATAGAAATAAATTTTAATGTTATCGCACACAATTCGCTCTTGGACTAATCAGAGTAATAGTATTTTATCACAATTGCTTGCAATAAAGTGAAACATTTTTGTACATAGAAAAATTGGAAATTTTTTGCACAAGTTCGGGCTTAATGGGCGTTTAGTTTGAAAATACAAGTATTGTGGTTATCTTTATGGTGGATATTAAAGCACAATTAATGACAGCAATTGCCATCGCAACGGCAGCGTCGTGGTTGTAAATTTTTATGTTCATATTTAAAGAGCAGTTAACTATACTCACACACACACACACAGACACATACACAATTGCAAATATACACACATACAAAGAGATACAGACATTTATCAGTTGCAGTTGGCAAAACTGCACTTTATGTAAAGCAAATGAAAACTTGCGCGCGTGAGCAGAAAACAGGAACCACTTTCTATTTTCACTATAACAGTACTACGTGGAGTTGGTGGCGCATCCAAAAGCAGCGGCTGCTTGTGGCAACTTCAGTTTCTGCAACACCGACGCAGTTGCAAAAGTTTCACAGCGCCCCGTATGTTATGTTAACCATGAGCCATAGCTTACTTCAATAATGCACAGTAACAGTAACAGCAACACTAAGCGTAACAGCGCTCTGGCTTAACATAATAGCTTAACATTAACAGTTGCTTAACATATCAAATGGAACAGCCGCGCTTTGCTGACGTAGCGCGTGCGTCTGCGTGCCAACAGAGACTGAAGACCGCAACTCAAATCGCAGCTTTCTACAGCCGCTGAGAGGCTGAAGTTGTAAGTATTCATATATTCGTACATACGTGTACATACATATGTTTATGTGGTTGTAACTCTTGGAGATGGAGTTGTTGTTGTTGTTGTTGCTTCGCGCTTTTGGAAAAGTAAGCGGCCAAAACGCATTTCACTTGACGACGAAGACGACGCGTCGATATATTTTTGTTTGACTGACTCTAGGTGTTGCTGTTGTTGTTTTGTAGTGAATGTTGCCAGCAGTTTTACTTTTACAAGCAGCGGCAGAGACTGAGGCAGAGATTGAGGCTGGGGCTGAGGCAGCGAGCATATTGCACTGTCCGCTAACACATGTAAATGCCTTTTTAACAAGCCTTGGCCATTGCCATAAATCAATGCGAGCGCTCTCGAATGAAGCAGCAGCCGTCAAATGAAATGGCCAGGTCCGTAAGCATAAACCGGCTTGCCCAGCCGCAGCAACAACAACAATAGGCAACTTAAACGTTGAGCAAGTGTACCATTAACCCACTGAGACAGTAATGGACGCAACGACAACGGCGACGGCAACGCTTTTTGACCCTATCGCGTCGCATTACGCAATGCTGGAAAAAGAACTTCAATGAATGGGGCGCACAAGCATGTACTGTGTGCGGTGTGTGTGTATGAGTTAGAGATGGACATAGGCTAGCATTTTTCGGGCTAACAAAGATAACCAATATCGAATACTTTAAGGATAAAAATATTAATAATTGGTAGGAAATGTTTATTATATATCAACTAGCAATACAAGTAATTGCATTTTCTTTACAAGGAATTTAAATTTAATACCATTTGTATTTAGAAAACCAATATATCGTTCCAAGTAGCTTACTCTACCTCTACTCATATAAAATATATCTTTTTGTTTAAGTGCTGTAAAACCTATTTGCAAGTTTTTTACAAAACTTATGTATATAAAATATATATGAAAGTACCATATATATACCATAAATATATCAGAAAATATAGAAATTCCACATTTTTATAATGAATGCTTTTTCTCGAAAAAAAGAAACAGCAAAATAATAATAATTATAGAAAAATTATATTTTATAGCTTTTCATTAAACGTATTATTTCATATTTTCTTGCTCTACATCTTTACGGCCCTTGCCCACCACTAATATAGTATGCTATGTCTGTTTGTTTGTGTTTACATACATATATTTTTGGTTATGTGCTGCTCATTGAGCTCATTTAACGGAGTTTTTTTAGGTTGGCAGCTCTACCATTTTTTTCATTTGGGCGGCTGATACACAAAATTTTAGTTTACTTTCTTTAGCCATACCAGATTTTCACTTAAAATGCTTTTCTAGAAAATTTGCATACGAAAGACTTAAGACACGAACTGACCAATTAAGCAGTAAGCAGCAACGATTTTTTTGCCAACTAATTGCCGCCACCCCACAATAAACAAACAACAATATTTGCCAAACAAATTCTTTATCTAGAGAGACTAATCAACAGAAAAGTGCCAAAGTTTCTTCTTCTTGTCAGCTCATTTCACTTAAAACTCACTATGCGCATTGTTGTTGTTGTTGTTCTGTATAACTGCTGGCTTGTTTAGGTGGCTGTTTTGTTTGTTGTTGTTGTTGCTTTGGCATAAGTGAAAGTTTTTCCAAGACCCAAACGCAAGACTCAGTGAGCTTTCGTCTCGCGTCTCTGTTGACTTTTTAGAAGCCGCATATAAGGGCATATCTGTTGTCACAGTGTTGTTGTTGCTGCTGCTGCTGATGCCACTTTGTTGTTTTTCTTTTTAATTAACACAATAAAATTATTTGCTGACATTTCTACACATGCTTTTGTTATTTTTTCAGCAGCTGCAGTCAGAAAATGAAATTTGTCTGTAAACAAAAGACTCAAGGCGCGAACTTGCTGGGGCAGCTGCTTGGAAGCTGAACTTTTATTTTCAACAGTCTTTGCTTTGCTTAATTAATGCTTAATTTGTTTTAGAAAAGAGCCGCAAGCTTGAAAATAATCTCAAGTCTTGTCTGAATTGACAGTTTCCCCCTGAGGATGGGGGCGGACTAATTAAAGATAAATGGCACTGCCAGATTTTCTAACAGGTTGGCACGCATGCGCCTTTGGCACGCCCATTCCTACTGCTATAATTTCCACGCATTGCCTGCCACTTTTCCACAAATTTTCCTGCGCATTCTTCGTTGCTTTGTTTTGTTTAATAACACAAAGAGTGGTGAGCAATATTTTGTGAAAACAAACATTAAATAATGTGAAAACTGACTGCGACTTCACACACAAGTGAAAATGTAATGAAAACTTGCTATAGATGATGTTTGTTGGTTGTAGCTTGTTGTCTATTTATTTGTTTGCCTACATGTCTGTTTGTCTGTTTGTTTTCTGCGCCCTCTTCAAGCGAAGCTGGAAATGGTATTGATGCTGAAGCTGAAGCCGTAGCCGTAGCCGAAGCCGACGCTGCCAGCTAATGTCGCCAATTGATTGAAAGACAATGCGTGACGCTGACTTCGGAGCTATTGAGGCTCTTTAACTTGTCGGAAACTAGGTGAACCAGCCAACTCACTCACCGACTTACAGACTGACTGACTGCACTCACATAACTCAGAGTTTGTTCTAATTCTCAATAATTTACGTGGCTTCCATTATATTTGTGGTTTGTTGCTATTGGCGCGCAATTTTGTTTATTCAAGCCGGATATTGATACGAATCGGATTGTCCATTTTCTATTGTTAGTAGCAAGGAAATTGTATGCT